GGAGGTGGCCAAAACTCTAGGCGCTTTTTGAGCTCCAGAGTCGCTAAACAGGACTCGGACCGAACGTGTGACCCCACCAATGGATTCCTCGTTCGAAGAGCAATCCATTGGTGGGGTCACTCGTCCGATTCGAGTCCTGTTTAGCGACTCTGGAGCTCAAAACGCGTCTAGAGTTTTGGCTGCCTCCACCGGTCTTCTGGCCCACTGTGTAACGGCTTACTCGGATGCTGCGTGCTGTACCACCCGGCTGTGTGACGCTGCGCGCACGTCGCTGCCTGTCGAGGCGTCCGTTTGGTTTACCGGTGTACTGGACACCTGGAAGGGCTGGTGCCTGCCGGGGCGTTGACTTTGTTTTACTCTCGTTGTCTAATCGGGCGGGTTCCAACACGGATCAGCTTGTATTGTACCTGACGGCGCCGGCTACCGTGTGGCTGTCCCTAACCCCAGCGCGCCGACGGCGACGGCGACTGACCACGGCACTAGTAAACGGAGACGAGCCAGGACCTGCACGGCCGGCGCGGGCCCGGAGGTTGAAGGGCTGGCTGGTGGCTGGCTGGCTGGCTGGCTGGCTGGGCGGCCTTGAGCTGGGATAACCCAACCCTCAAGCCGAATTGCAGGACCCGGTGGCCGGCGGATCGGCGCAGGACATCGCACTGCTCGTGCGTGACTGCCGGTGACTGCATGACGTCATTTGGCACGAGTCGCCTGGCTGCCCTGGCTGCCCTGGCTGCTGACCGAATGCGCGGTCAGTGATCGGCCCGAGGGGTAACGCGAGTTGGGAACGGATTTTGGTGCGTTCGACGACCGCCGCGACATTCCAGACGTTTCGGAAAAACGCGGCAAAGAGTTGGCAGACGTTTATATTTCGGAACCCCGATGCCGACAGTCGAAATCTGGACGTGCGGGTCGCGTGGAAACCGCCAATTCAGCAGCTTTCGGGGAATTTGGCAGGGGCGGACTCAGTTGGCTGATTTGAGGGTCCGCGGCGATAGCCGCGAAACGGGGAATCCGGCCGCGGAGTCACCCGCAGTGTCGCGGAGGTCCGTGGGACTCGAACCGAACGTGTGACCCCACCAATGGATTCCTCGTTCGGAGAGCAATCCATTGGTGGGGTCACACGTTCAGTTCGAGTCCTGTTCAGCGACTCTGGAGCTCAAAAACGCGTCTGGAATTTTGGCCGCCCCCACCGGACTTCTGGCAAATCCCGCGCGGCCTCGAGACAGGAGCGCCGCACCGCCTCGCCGTCCACATGGTGCCACATGGGCTGGCGCATGGACCGTCATGGACTTGCCGGGCGGGCTCGGCGGGGAGGGGTCAGGGCCGGCCAAGTATCACGCGGATTCGGCCGTCCTCTGGGTGCACGCCGGTACACGCGCCCGGCCGGCCGCCGCGTATCTCTCGTGCCGCGTTTAAACAGCAAAGTGGATTAATTAAGAAGCCGTCGTTTTTATGGGGGATTTCGTTTTTTTATTCGCAGCCTGGCGCAGCCTGGCGGCTGGCTGACTTGCTGACTGTTTTGAAGCGTACCCGCGGTACCCCGCCAGTGTGCCGGGGGTACCGGGAGGCGGACGGGTCCCACCCCACAGCGGAGAAAGGCGTCAGCTTTCATTTTCACCCGCTAGTTCGTGAAATGTTTCTGTTTTCGCCGTGGCAGGTCGTTTGGCGCGGCGCGGCGGGTCGGGCAATCCTGGACAGCGGGCCGTTGGTTGGGGCGATACTCAAGCGCAATCGTCGCCCTGGCAGCCGATTGAGGCCAAACGCGAGGGTGGCCCACTGGTGGAGCCCCGTTGGGGTGCCCCGTTGGGGTAGGGCAGTCCGAGACGTCCAGATGGCATCGGGGTGCATGCCGGGGCTGACCGCGGCGCGACCGCGACGCGGCCGCAGGGGAAGGGAGGTGGGGGCGGCCCACAGTGGGCCAGAAGACCGCGCAGCGGCCAAAACTCCAGACGCGTTTTGAGCTCCAGAGTCGCTAAATGGAACTCGACACGTTCGTGTGACCCCACCGATGGATTGCTCTCCGAACGAGGAATCCATTGGTGGGGTCACACGTTCGCTTCGAGTCCTGTTTAGCGACTCTGGAGCACAAAACGCGTCTGAAGTTTTGGCCGCTGCGCGGTCTTCTGGACCACTGTGGCACGGCCGGGGCGGCGCGAGTTGCCTACTTCTAGGCGAGTCCGAAAGGGAAAGGAACCCGAAACCACGAAAGCGAAGGGGCCACTGGGACTCTGCACCCGAGCGCCCCGAGCACCCAAATTGGCCTGAGTCACTAAGGTGACTGGTTCCATGTTCGATACCAACTGCCAGCTCAATTTTCGTTTCCCGAAAAACATGAAAGCCAGCCGGGCCTCGCGATCCCCGCGGGGCACATGGGCCGGCGGGGCCGCCGGCGGCGCTGTTGGCGGTCTCTAGGCGGTCTCTAGGCGGTCTCTAGGCCCGCCGCGGTCGCTGTGTGTCTGTGTGGCCCGCTGAGTAAGCACACAGAGTCGAAAGCGTTTCCTAACTAGGCCCGCCTAACCGTGGGGTGAACGGCCGAACGGAGCCCCCTGGGCCCCCTCGCGGTGGCGTGGCGGGGCGTGCGCGGCGGCGCGGCCGGCCTAGGCCAGCCCGGCTTGGATGGCCGGCATCGGCGGCATCCCGTCCCAATCGATGCGCTTGATAGCGAGCTGCAGCTGTAGTGCCATTTGCGTAAGTGTTGTGCCAAAGCAGGCCTGCTCTTCCGGGGCCACGCCACGCCGCGACGGGGCGACGGGGCCAGCGGAGCGTCCGGGGCAAGAGGCACCAAGCACACCCACGCGCGCGGAAATCGGAGCAGGGGGGCTTTCCGCTCTGCGTGGCTCGTCCGGCACGCCGACAACGACAAGCTGGTCGACACCATCGACACCGACGAACACGCTCGCGCATTCCAGGATATTTACGCGCCGAGGAAACGCGCATCAGCGGAAAAGCGGTCTTTCTTTTCGAGTCATCACGCTGGCCGTGCGGTGCCGCGCCGCCACGTGAGTGCGCCGACCTGGCGGCGGTCACCTGCGCGGCCTGCTCGCCGATCACTTCCGCCGTGTCCAATATCGCCCAGGCAGAGCCAGGCAGAGCTCCCGCGCGGCCGCGCAGCCGCGTGCAGGTGTTAGTGGCCTCTCTCTCTCTCTCTCTCTCTCGCTCTCCTTCTCACTCCCTGATGGGGTGAATCGGGAATTAGGAGTAACAGCAGCCCTGCTCTGCACGCATCCAACAGGAGGGTGGGGCAAGGGACTCTGTGGGGGCGGGGCTGTGCGGGCCGTGCCGGCTGTGCCGGGCGCGGGAGGGGAGGGGGAGGATGCCGGGCGTGGGCGGGGCTAGGCGGGTCCCGGCGGTCCTGGCGCCCCCTCCCCTCCTCCTCGGCCGCACTGCCGCGCTCGCGCAGCGGCGCAGGACCGGCAGGACTTCCCCCTCCCCTCCCCCCTCGCCCGGAGAGTTATGTGCGGACTCGACTCCTCGGCCCCGGCGTGCCTCTGTGCGCGCTGTGTGCCCCTGGCTGCGCCTGCCCGTGCCTGCGTGACATAAGGCACGGGTTCATGAGAGTGCAGGCGACGCGCAAAACGATCGAGTGACCGCCATGGCGTCCATGGCGCGCCATCAAGAGATACGTTGCATCGACCTCCTGGCCCCGGCCGCCCCGCGCCGGCGGACCAGCCACAAGCAGCAGCAGCTCGAACAGTGTGCCCTCCGCGCCGCTGTCTCTCTCGCGCAGGAGTGAGAGAAAGAGAGAGAGAGAGAGAGAGAGAGAGAGAGAGAGAGAGAGAGAGAGAGAGAGAGAGAGAGAGAGAGAGAGAGAGAGAGAGAGAGAGAGGCAGGGCTCGCGTGTTGTAACCTTATGCGATAGCGACCACAAAAATGAGTGCGCCAACCCCGCGGGCCGCGGCGGCGCGTGCGGAGTGCGGAGATAAGGCAGGCAACCCAGGCAACGGCCGAGACGTTGTGAAAGGTCGGGACCGGCAGGACCGGCAGGACCAAAAGGCTGAGGCCGGAAGAGAGTGCGAGCGCGGACTGTACCGGCCGCACCGGCACCGCGAGGCGCCACTACGAGGTGCCGCGCGGGTTTTGGTGAGTGATCTGCGTGGGCTTGGTGAGGACATTTGTGTTTTTTCTCAACTCGTGTGGCCTTGTTCGTCGATGAGGTAGGAGGTATAGAGGGAAGTTGTGCATTTTAATCATAGGCGTGTCGTGTTTTCAGAAACGCGCCGCCCAGTGCGAGAGACGAAGTGCCATGGTCCGCAGCGCCGCTAGGGCATGGCTGCGCGCCTCGGCACGAGAGGCACGCACGCCTCTCAACACCGATTTCGAAAAACCGAAACAGTGTCGGAGAGACGCGGAGCACAAGTCCGGGAAACACGAGCGACTTTTCCGAAAACACGGCACACCGGGAAGAACGTTTTCAAAGCGCGCGGCCGGAAAAGCGTCCGCGGCTTTCCCGAAGCGAGGAACACTGCAGCCCGCGGAGGTGGAGCGCGCGCGCCGAAGTCGACTCGGACTCGATGTTTTTCTCGTCGCCGCGGACGAGGCGCCGCGCGGAGCGGCGGCACGGCGCCTCGACGTGCACGTCGCGCCGGCCGGTTCCCGACTGGCGGGCTGCGGGCTGCGCGGGCCGCCGCCGCGCCGCCAGCACCCCCACCCCTGGGGCCGCGCCGCTCGCCGAACATCGCCGAGCCGGAGGCGGGATTGACAGTGGGATTCGAACCGAACCGAACGAGTGGAGCCGAGCGTCGCCGAGCCGGCCCGCCCTTGCACGCCGCGCTGGGGCTGCTTGGCCTCCCCTCCACCCTCGCCTACACTGTGGGGCCCGCCCCACCCCGCCACCCCGCCCGGCCAATGCGTCGGCGTGGGCCCCCCGAACATCGCCCGAACGCCCCCCACTGCCTCCCCCGAGCGGGGTCCGAGCGGGGTGGGGCGGCGCGGCCGACGGGGGCCCGAACCGAGCCGAGCCGAGCCGCGCCGAGCGGCGGCCAATGAATCACTATAAAAGACAGCAAGGACAGTCAACATGTAATTCAGTCTTGTTTGGTCCACCCGCGGAGGTGGTGTGTCGTTGTGCAGTGTGCCGTGTGTCAGCGAGCCGCTTTAGCGTGTATTCTCTCGTACTCCCTGGACTATCCCTCCAAGTGCATCATGTTGCTCGTGACCCGTGGCGTGCAGTGGCTGCTGAGGACTTGCGATGCGTGCAGTGCTGCGTGCAGTGCTTCATACAGTGGTGCGGATGTCGGCTGGAGCCTGCTCGTCTTCAGCGTGGTGCTCGTCTTGGTGCGGCTGGTGCAGCTGTACCGCGAGCAGCGCCGCCTGCCCCCCGGGCCCTGGGGCGTCCCCGTGCTCGGCTACCTGCCCTTCCTCAAGGGGGACATCCACCTGCACTACAAGGAGCTCACCCACAAGTACGGCCCCATGTTCTCGGCGCGACTCGGTAGCCAGAACATCGTGGTCCTCGCCGACCACAAGACCATCCGGGAGGCCTTCCGCAAGGAGGAGTTCACCGGCAGGCCGCAGACCGAGTTCACCGAGATCTTAGGAGGCTACGGTAAGTTGCAGTGATAAGCAGTGCAGTGATACGTAGTGTTAAGTGGTGTTAAGGCCTAGGGCGAGTGTAGGGGTAGTGACGCCCCTGGCGCCGGGTGCTGCGTGCCGCGTGCCGCACTCGGCGGCCGCGAAGCGCGAGGCGCCACCGGCTGGCAGGCCCTCTAGCCACGGCTAGGGGGACTAGCCTCCGCGGGCCGCACATGGGATCCCCTGCGTCAGCAGAATCGCGTCGGCCGTTGGGCCGTTGGCGCGCTCGCGGACGCCGCGGCCGCCAGACTGGGGCGACACTTTCGCGCCAAGCCGCTACTGGCCGCTGCCGAGGCCGGGCCGTTCTAGTGTGTCGCCCTCGAGGGCCGCTGTCGGGCCGCCGCAAAAATTCGGAGGCCCGCGTCGACCCGTTCTGTTACAACGACGGCGCGCCGGGCGTGCAGCATTTTCTCTCAGACGGCGTACCGCGCGGGGCGGGGCGGGGCGGGGCGGGGCGGGCGGCGTGCCGTGGCGTGCCATTCCCAGTCATTCCGCCGCGGCTGCGGGGCAGTCTCGTCTCTCGGATTGGGCAAGGCGGTTCGGCATTTCGGCACTCGGACCGGTTCAATGTGTTCATTCTGCATTAGTCCCCACCCGGTTGGTCCCCGGGTGCCCTGGTCCCCTGGTCGGCCCGCCGGTTGCGTGGCGTGGGGCGCGGGGTGCGACGCGATGCGACGCGGCGCAGTGCGGTAGCCCCGCGGTGGCCGCGGTGCTACGCGGTGCTACGCGGAGTCGGCTTCGCTGGTGGTTCGCTGGGCGCGAGCGCGAAACACGTCCCCACTCCGGGCCGCTCGCCGCGTCGCGCTCTCGGAAAGGTTGTTGACTCCGGCGACGTCCTTCAGACGGTGGCGGCGCGCGGCGCAGCGCGGCGTACTGCACTGCGACCAACCTTTCTCCAGGGCTGTTGGGCAGGCCAGGGCGGCCAGGGCCCAACGCGCCGCGGCCACGCACTTTGCGGCCACGCCGGCCACGCCCCGTCGCGGCACGCCCCGCGCCCCGCGCTGCTCCTCGGACTACCTCACCTCTTCACCGCAGGTTTTGCGTAACGCGTGCAGTGCGTTGAACCGAGCCGGGCCAGACCGACGGCCAGACCGACGGCCGGCGGCAGTCGCGCCGTAACAAAACGGGGAGGGGCGGCGGGGGCCTCGGCGGCGGCCTGGACGCCGTCATCCTGGGCACCACTACATCCGGACCACGCCTCCCGTCGAGGGGCCCAGGGGCGGCCCAGGGGCCGAGGGGGGCGCGCGCCGTTTTGGCACTTGACCCGCGAAGCCTGGCGCCGCGTGCCGCGCCGCGCACGCCGCATTGCGCTGGCATGGTGGGGACGCGGCCGCGCCATGCCGCCGCGGGAGGGACCAGGGAAGGACGGGACTTGCTGGCGGCCGTCATGACCTGTACCGGTCCGCAGTCCGCAGGTCCGCAGCGTCTCGAGTCGCGTCGCGTCGCGCGGTGAAGTAACAGGTGGTTTATGTAACAGCGCGGTGGGGCGCGGGGCGCGGCGGCCCGCCGGTGGGTGGGGCGGCGTTCGGCGTTCAAAAACAGCCCCGCACTTTTTTCGTAAACGCGAGGCGGCGTGGCGCGTGGCGTGGGTGTCGTAACCCGGGCGGCGCGGCCCCCGGCGCGGCCCCGCCGACGCACCGTCAGCCCTGCCGTCTGCGCCCCTGCGGGCCCCTCCGGCCGCCGCCCACCCGCCGCCGGCGGCTGGAGAAAAGAAAGAAAGGGTCGCCGTCGCGCCGCCGCCATGGCCGCCGCGCCGCCGCCCCGACGACAAAGGCTGTGCTTTTCTTTTCGCGTTAGATAACCCAATGTTCTGCTCTCCGTGTTGCAGGCGTCATCAACAGCGACGGCCGCCTCTGGAAGGACCAGCGCCGCTTCCTCCACGACCGCCTCCGCCACTTCGGCATGACGTACATCGGCGCCGGCAAGGGCCAGATGGAGGCGCGCATCATGGGCGAGGTGGAGTCCTTCGCCGCCATCCTGGAGCAGCACGGCGAGGGCCCCTGCGACCTCAACCCCATCCTGGCCGTGTCCATCAGCAACGTCATCTGCTCCATGATCATGTCCATGCGCTTCACCCACGACGACGCGCGCTTCCGCCGCTTCATGGACCTCATCGACGAGGGCTTCCGCCTGTTCGGCACCCTGGCGCCCGTCAACTTCATCCCCTTCCTGCGCCACATGCCCTGGCTGCAGGAGACCCGCAAGAAGCTCAACCAGGTGGGTGTCTTGTCGGACAGCGCGGCGACGCACTGCAACGCACGCCCCGACCGCCCCTTGCTAACGTAGCCGTTTCCTCTTTGCCCACAGAACCGCCAGGAGATGGCCGACTTCTTCCAGGAGACGGTGGAGGACCACCGCGCCTCCTTCGACCCCAGCAACATGCGCGACCTGGTCGACACCTACCTGCTCGAGATTCAGAACGCTCGCGAGGAGGGCCGCGACGCCGCGCTGTTCGAGGGCAAGAACCACGACCGCCAGATGCAGCAGATCATCGGCGACCTCTTCTCCGCCGGCATGGAGACCATCAAGACCACCCTGCAGTGGGCCGTCGTGTTCATGCTGCACCACCCCGAGATCATGAAGCAGGTGCAGGAGGAGCTGGACTCCGTGGTCGGGCGCGACCGCCTGCCCAGCCTGGAGGACCTGGCCTACCTGCCCTACACCGAGTCCACCATCCTGGAGGTGCTGCGGCGGTCCAGCATCGTGCCGCTCGGCACCACCCACGCCACCACCAAGGACGTGACCCTCAACGGCTTCCACATCCCCAAGGACACGCACATCGTGCCGCTGCTGCACGCCGTGCACATGGACCCCACCCTCTGGGACGAGCCCGAGAGCTTCCAGCCCTCGCGGTTCCTCTCCGCCGAGGGCAAGGTCACCAAGCCCGACTTCTTCCTGCCCTTCGGAGCCGGTGAGTAGCCGGCCTGGCCGCACTGCAGTAAAACACCTGCCTCCGTCGGGATTCGAACCCGCGCCTGTTCCTCGCTCGCCGAGCTAACCGTGTTGTCCTTTGTCCCGCAGGCCGACGCATGTGTCTGGGCGACGTGCTGGCGCGCATGGAGCTCTTCCTCTTCTTCTCCACGCTGCTGCACAAGTTCCACATCGAGCTGCCCGAGGGCGCCTCCCTGCCCTCCCTCAAGGGCAACACCGGGGTCACCGTCACTCCCGACGCCTTCAAGGTGAGCATCCCTTGCAACACTTACAAAGGGTTTCCCGGCGCGGCGCGCGGCGCGCAGTCAGTGAGCCAGGCCCTTGAGGTCCTTGCCCCGCCTTGCCCTGACCGGCCGGCACCCTACGGGTCCCTACGGGTCCCTACGGGGCACCCCTCCCCCTCCCTTCCCGCGCAGTAGACAACGACCACCGAGGTCGGTGACCGCCCGCTCCCCCGGGCAGCCCTGGCCAGCCCAATGACCCGAGCACCGACCTCTCATTTCGCGTTTCCCTACCATAAAAAGTAAAATCTTTCACCGAAAAAAAATTAATCCGTCATAATAAAAAACGCAACGTGTAAAGAAACCCCGCGAAAGAGAGAAAACGAAAAACTGCACCCAATAAAGACAACAAAGCCTTGCACTTCTAACGGTCCCTGTTTTTTTCTGTCTGCAGGTCGTTCTGAAAAAGAGGCCGATGGCGTCCGGCGACGTGGCCGACGTGGCGACACCCGTGCCGCAGGCCTCGCTCTCCGACGCCGGCGTGGTCAGGAACGTCGGCAGCAACTAAGGCGCCTCGTCGCCGCCCCTTTTTTTTTCGCCACCGCCAGTATTCGAACCGGGGCGAGGCCCCTGCGACCCTCACGGCCTTGCTGCCCCTCGCTGGCCAAGTGACGATCGCGCGGGCTCCGCCACGGCCCCGCCAAGGCTCCGCCCGGAACGGCCGTGCCCAACATTCGGGCGTGTCTCCCTCAGCTTGCGCTCCTTCAAGTGTGCCATACGGGGACTACATCGCACCAACAAAAAAGAAAATGAAGACAAAAAAAAAATTGACGAGTTTGAGATGTGGTGGGTCTGCGCTCCGGCATCCGGAGTCCGCGGGCCCGCGACCAGTCCGGTGCTGCTTGCGATTAAGTTTCCCAGTTGAAGCTGCTCAGCCCTCCCTGGAGGAGCCGGCAGCGAGAACAGTACAACGTAATTAGAACGCGTCTGGCGCCAGCGTGCTGGGGCACTGCTGCGGCACTGCCAGCGCCACGCGGTTTAGGCTGTGTAAATCAATTTTAGCGTTATGTTACTGTGTTCACTACTGAGTAAGCCCACGGCGGCTGTCAAGTATTGAAGTTGTTACTAGTCAGTTGATTGTAGTTAAGCTCACTGTTTTAAAAGACTGCGCTATATAGTTATCTCTTCTCTGTGTTATCTTAGCTGTACGGTACTCTCGATGTGTCTCTCCCGCGCCGGTGTATGCGTATACACATCGGCGCGGCCCCGTCTGCATGAGCTTCGAGACTCTGCTCAGAAACGCTATGCAAGAAGTACAAACGAAGTAGTAGAAATTATCTCAGTTGTTGTGGCGATTTTCGAGTCGCCGTCCCGTCAAGTTTTATCTATGTTGAAGAGTATACGTAAGTGTTTTGTACGTAATTGTAAATATATTTATGTCTAGCGTCTAAGTGGTGTGAGTGTGGCGTGTGAGAGTGTAACACTTGTGTGCATAGTGGTGTGGCGTGCTTGGCGGACACCAAGTCAAACTGTCTGGAACAGTCTTTGGATATGCTTTAAAGTTAGATTCACAATTCCTACTTGTCAAGTCAAAAAAGCTCGCCCGCGCCCAGAGTGAATCCGAACGTTGTGAATGTGAGACGTGTTCTTTGTGCCACTCACAAATGTTTTTGATACTGAAAATACAGAAAACCTAATTGAACTCCATGTCTCCTTCTTTCTCCCTGCTGCACCGCGGCACCGACACGGCAACGAGTGGGACAAGTCAATGGACGAGTATCGGGCCCAGCCTGTCAATGACTCGGCGTTTAAAACAAAAAGCGACCAGGAATGGGTTCAGTTCCATTGAAGCGACAGCGCTAGAGTTGAGAGAGTAGAGTCCGAGGCGCGGCGCGTTGGATGGGCTGCCTGCGTGCCAGGGGCGGGGCGCGCGGCTGACTTGCGCGGCTGACTTGGCTCTGCGGCTCTGCCGTGCCACTGTGGGCCAGAAGACCGGTGGAGGCGGCCAAAACTCTAGACGCGTTTTGAGCTCCAGAGTCGCTAAATGGGACTCGAACCGAACGTGTGACCCCACCAATGGATTGCTCTCCGGACTCTGGAGCTCAAAACACGTCTAGAGTTTTGGCCGCCTCCACGGGTCTTCTGGCCCACTGTGCGTGCTCGGCCACTGCTTGCCCGACTGGCTCGGCCCGTCCTATTCATGCCTCCCGCGACGCTAAACGATTCACAGCCTCACTTCTGGGAACGGCCTGCGGGGTCAATGGGCCCTAGGGGGCCGCGTCATTCATTTTGGAGCATTTTTCGGCGCGCGACCAGAGGGAGAGGGTTGCAGCGCGCGCCGCGGACCCGAGCTTTCCCTGTGAAAGTCTGCGAGGCTGTCGCCACAAGCGAGGCAGCGCGCCGGGACCGGGGCGCAGTGGCGGCCGGGGGGAGGGGAGGGGGCGGGGGTGGCTACTGCTTACGGTGGCTTATGCAGGGATAACATGGAGTACACGACAAGGTTACAATGGGGCCGAGCCGGTCGCGCCCCTCACGGCTGCCCGACGGCTGCCCCGGCCGCGCGCCCTCGCCGGCGTGTCACTTGGCCTCCCGACTGTCAGATGTAAGGCTGCACTCAATGCTGGACGTAATGAGAGGCAGCCAGCGCGTGGCACGCCACTGTGTGGCACCTGGGCCGGCAAGCCCGGCACCTACACCATCCGCACGTGTCAAAAAGTCGCCTTCACATTGACGGCATGCTCGCGCCGGCGGTCCGAGTGGTCACTGCCACTGGGGAAAAACAAAGGTAACACAAGCGGAAAACAACCTCACAGTTTCTCATTTTTATTACTTTTTTCGAGGCGTTTGGGATATTGACAGAATGAAATTCGAATGCGGCCACCCTCGCGGGCGCCGGCGCGAGAGGAGCCCCGTCCCGCTCGGCCGCCTCTGCCTTGCTGCAGACTGATTCCGCAAAGCGTCTCGTCGCTCTGTCTCTCTCGCACCCACACGGAGCGCCCCGCGAGTGCGAGAGAGACAGAGCGACGTTTGGAGTCGGTCTGCCGGGCCGCCGGCGACCAGACGGGACTTTCTCCGTCGTGCACTCGTTGTTGAGTCCCGAGGGCGCGGCGGCGGGGCGGCCGGACTGTACTCTATTCCCATAGAACGGGAAGGGGTGCTCGGAAACCGGGTGCCCTGGTCACCCGACTCAGTTTTTCAGTCTCTCTTTGGGCACTGGAAATGAAACCAGACACACTTTTCTCCTTCTCGTGCTTTATTCCGTCATTTCTTCTAAGGATTCCGGGCGGCGCAGCGAATCCGCTGGTCCTTGGGCGTGAGCGTGATGCCGCAGACGCCCTCCAGGTCCGCCTCCTCGCCGTCGGGCAGCGACAGGTGCAGTCGCTGCAGCAGCCCCGCGCTGAACATGAAGAGCATCATCCTGGCCCACTCGTCGCCCACGCACATGCGTTTTCCTGCGAGAGAAATAGGCGAGAACGTTGGTCGTGGGAGGTCATGGTCTATGCGAGAAGACCGGTGGAGGCGGCCCAAACTCTAGACGCGTTTTGAGCTACAGAGTCGATAAATAGGACTCGAACCGAACGTGTGACCCCACCAATGGATTGCTCTCCGAACGAGGAATCCATCGGTGGGGTCACACGTTCGGTTCGAGTCCTGTTTAGCGACTCTGGAGCTCAAAACGCGTTTAGAGTTCTGGCCGCCTCCACCGGTCTTCTGGCCCACTGTGGCGCGGCTGGCGCGGCCGCTCACCTGTCTGGAAGGGGATGAAGCCGTCGGGGCGCAGCACGGCGCCGTCCTCGCCCAGGAACCTCTCCGGCCGGAACTCCTGGGGGTCGCCCCACCGCGACGGGTCCATGTGGATGGCCCACTGCAGGGGGATGAGCATGGTGCCCTTGGGGATCACGTACCCCTCCAGCACGGTGTCCTGCCAGAAGAAAAGTGTCGTGTTTTAGTTCCAGAGTCGCTAAAGAGGACTCGAACCGAGCGTGTGCCCACCAATGGATTCCTCGTTCGGAGAGCAGCCCATTGGTGGGGTCACGCGTTCGGTTCGAGTCACATTCAGCGACTCTCGAGCTCCAAACGCGCCTAGATCTTCGTTGCGGCACCCACCCACCTCCCTGACGCCGTGCGGGATGCCGAGCGGGGTGACGGAGCGGATGCGCTGCGTCTCCATGATGGTGGCCGCCACGAAGGGCAGCGACGCCAGGTCGTCCAGGGTGGGCGCGCGGCCCTGCAGCACCTCGTCCAGCTCGCGGTGCGCGCGCTGCTGCGCCTCGGGGTGCGTGGCCACGAAGAGCATGAGCCAGCGCAGCGTGGTGACGGTGGTGTCCAGGGCGGCGCCGAACAGGTCGGCCAGCAGGAAGTGCAGCTGGCGGTCGGTGTAGAAGGGGCTGTCCGGGCGGCGCGTCGCCTCCAGCAGCCACGCGCCCAGGAGGTTGTCGCCGTCCTGGACGCCCTGCACGCCGTCGTCGTCGTCCTGGCGCGGCGGCCCCTGCGGTGCGAGCGCCGCCCGCGCCTCGGCCACCAGGTCGGCGTACAGGGCGTGCTGCGAGCGCTGGCCCTCCTTCAGCCAGTGGATCACGCGCCCGTTCTGCGGCAGCAGCCTGGAGGCACAATGTAGACAAAAAACGCTTGAAAGTTCTGACAAAATGCATTGGAATGGAAAAAATGCATTCTTTTTGCTGAAGTCGGACTCCGAGACCCCCCTTCCGACCACTCCTAGAAAAGGTCTTGACGAAGACCTATCGAAAGGTGCAATAAAATTTTTCAGTCGGTCGACCCCCTTTTTTCAAGATCCTGATGTGGACAATTCTAGGAAGTGGCCTTTGTTGGGACCAGATCTGGTGGCATGGACTGTACGGAAGAACGGTAACTACTGTTAAAAGACTACGGAATATGTTGTAAAGCGAGTACGGTAAATACTGTAGGCTGTACGGTGGATACTGGTTTTTGAAGTACAGTAAAGTTTGGCAAAAAAATTATCCAGGATTTTCCGTCATTTTTTCTCAGAGTGCGGTTCAACGCGGACGGGATGTGCCTGATGTTCGATCACACGACTAGGGATCCCTAGTCCGTGTGTTCGATCTTGCGTCCTGGGGAAGGCACAGCACCACGTTCTCCCCCTCAAAAAAAAAAAGAATCATCACTTTGCCGAGTCTGGACACCCTGGACGCACGTGGCCGTGCAAGCCGTGCAGGCCTGATAATCCAGGCTCAGCCTAATAGACCCTGGACCCCAGCCCAGCCCGCAACTTGGTGCACTTGGCCACCTGCCTCATCATCTGGCCCAGCTTCATTAGGGGGTAAAGACCGGTAAAGACCCCGCCGCCAGCGGACGCAGCGGACTCATTCCGTCTCTCTCGCACTCACGGGGCACAAGGGCAGAGCCAAAGCACTGCGCGGCATTGCGCTGCTAAAAAAAAATCACAGATCGCCGGGTCTTGACTTTCGAGGTTACAGTGCTATCTGAGCATCACGAAAAATAATGAAGTTTGGCCTCGTTTTTTTCCCCCGCCGCTCCCACGTTGAGCTAGGAACCGTTACCTGCCGAAAACAAGATCCGCCCTTCCCGGCCATTGTGGCGGTAGAGGGTGCAGCGCAGGGTGCACTCTCTTTTTATGGCCGGTCCCCTTTTTTTATTATCATTTCTCACGCCCCCGCTGCCAGGGGCCGCCAGGGGCCTGCCGGGAGGGCTCCTTGCGGTACTGCAAGGTGTACCGTACTGGGGCGGGGAGAGAGGGGATGTTTACCTGAGAGTCCGAGGCTCACACCCTGCCCTACAACTGGGTCTCAAAAAAAGATCAACATTTTTTAACGTTTTACTTATTTAAAAAAAAAATTAACGCAATTATTTTTATGACTTCTGTTGGCTTGGCCGAGCCGAAACTTGAATGATTGTGTCGCGAGGAAAGGAAGGTCCGGGACTAATTCTCGAGGAGATACTACCAAAGGGGCGCCTGTTGCCTGTCACCGGGTAGGGACCACTGTCTCCACCGGGACCACACGGCGCGTCTGAGTCCATGTCTCCCACAGGTGCCGCGGGCGGCTGGCTGTGGTGTGGTTGGGTTAGATCGTTGAGGTGAGGTCGATCGCCCCGTCCCGTCGGGGTGACGGGGCGGCACGCCGGCCCCTCGTCCTCGCCACAATGCTACCCTTCCTTTGCGCTATCGGTCACTCCCCCCGGCAGAGTCCCTTCAAGGGTCACTGCGTTGTCCCTGCAGGGCCACACCACCGACTTTCACGCTGGGGAGGCTGGGCCTTGCTGCAGACTGATTCGTCGCTCTGTCTCTCTCGCACTCGCGTGGCGTTTCGTATGGGAGCGAGAGAGACAGAGCGACGAAAACGCTCTGCCCCCATTTTGCGCGGTCCTGGCCAAGGGATCCTCCGGCGGGGCTACTGACCCCAGGTCCCTCACCCCTGCGCGGCCTGACGCCTGGAGGCCCGGAGGCCCCGGCGGGGGAGGCAGGGAGGGGAGGGGCGCTTGCACCGCTTGCACCGCTTGCACCGCATGCGCGCGGGGGACACCAAAGCGCCAAGACTTACGTGCACCGCTTCTCACACCTGCTCCCTTGCAGCAGCTTTGCGTCAGTTGCTATTCTTAAAAAAAAAGTTATGAAAAATTTTAACAGAAGCTAGCAATTTTTCATACGTCAAGTTTCACGCACAGCTTTTTCTAATTTTTTTTTGACTTTTAGAAAACATTGATGAAAATGTTGTTTTATTCTGTGTGAATTTTTGTTTTTAGAAAGTGTAGGGTTCGGCCTCTCGGCGGGGTCGGCGCACCCCTCGTCTGTCCGTGCCGTCTGGGGTCTGGCCGGTCTGGCTGTGCACGCGGTCACTCAGACGGCCTGGGCGAGAAGGGGGCTGCCTCCCCTGTAGTCGCGAACACAATGGGGCCTCCGATGAGGAGAATTTCGCCTGCAATGCTGGGAATCGTTATGAAAGCGCGACAGGGCCTCACAACAACACGGGTCAGTGGCATCGCTTGTCATCGCAGGGCGACGCAGGGCGACGCACGGCGTTTGTTGGTGGGTCGGTTGCATCGAGGATGATCCCGTTGCGCGTCATTGCGTTTCGCCAGTCGCCATTTCGTCGTGCTGATTTACGGACAGGCGATTCGCAATGGCAAGGCCGCGACGGTCCTGCACTGCAAAGGTCTCTGACCTCGGCCCGCCACCGCCTTGAGCAAATATCGGTATAACAACGCGTTATACAACCGCACCGCCTTGTAGTGCGAAACAACTTGGCAAATTGGGGACGACAAATTGGGCCTCGATTCGATATCTCGAGGCGGGGAAACAAACGACGATCGCGTCGATTAAAAACTATAAAACCGACCGTCATTATTTCCTCATATTTACAGCATAAACGCCTTGGCCAACTGGCGCCAGATTGTTTCGGATAGTACAGTCTCGTGAGAGGCGATCGGGGATCACGGGGTGCGCGTCCGATGATGAGGAATTATTGAACAGAGCGGCGAAATAAATCACCCGAAATTGCGCGCCATTACGCCATAAGTGCGTGCACGTGCAGGGGTGCCAACGCATTATGCGCCAAGTGCGTGCAGGGGTGCCAACGTGGCGCGCATTGCGTCATTAGGCCTTGGGGCGTTTTCGTTTTCGGCGGGCCCCTCTGGCGGGCCAGGCCCTGGCCATGCCTGCCAGCGTCACGTGCGAAAGTCCCCGCGTCATCGCGCCAGGGTGGCCAACAATGCCACCCATTCTTCGCAGCGATAAAATCACGATCGCGGTGAGACGGCCCAGGGCGAAGGGGTTGGCGGCGACAATAAGCCCGGTCGTTGACACGGCGTTGACCGGCGGACGCTTTCCCAGTGTGGCCAACACAAAAGGGCGGCAAAAGGGTTCGCGCCGACCAGGGCACTGCACTGCGCGCACCCCCGGACGCGACGCGCGGCACGTAGTGGCGGCAAAAAGAACAAAAACGGCGGGAAAAAAATCCGCGCCAAGAAACGCCCCGCCCCGCCCCGCGGCTGCCAATGCCCGGCGTCCCTTCCTTCCGGGGGAAATTTCCCTCCCAGAGCTGCACCACGACGGTGACGGGCACGGCGGGCCCTTGGCGGCGGCGGGGCGCGCATTGCCAGTCCGCGGGGGATCTGGGCGGGGCGGGGCGGGGCCGGCGGGGCCCCTCGGGGGCAATGCCCTGCGGGGGTCATCGCCCCACGCGGCAGCACCGGCCAGCATCCCCCGCACTGCACTGAGCCTGCACAGTGCCTGCACAGTGCCTGCACTGCATATGCATAAGGATGCGAAAGTGTCGGAGGATGGCCCGCGCAGGTCCACGACGACGGGGCCGATGACCTGGCCGACGACGGCGGGGCGGCGGGGCGCGACAAAGCGAAGCGCGACTGGCCGCTCACCGAGCCCCTCTGGAGCACAGCGGAGCCGAAGAGTGGTGAATAGAGCACAATGGGGCTGTCATACATTGATATGCTGCGTTGTTGCAGTGTTGCTGCACCAACACTGCAACGGGAGCCTGTAATCCGCTCGCCGGCTCGGCCGATTCGGTGTCCGGACGCATTTCGGTTTTCGGCCGAGGCCACGCGGGGCAGATGGCGGATCCAATGGAGCGGCCGTCCACAGAGAGACAGAGCCTTAGAGCGGCGAGCACGCTTAGCGCAGTCCCGGGGGTCATTGGACACAGTGCCTGGCTAAAACGCCCGAGCGTTCGCGTCTTGGCGGCAGGAACGGGCTGGAGCGTGCAGGAGCCAGAGGTTCAAATCTAACCTTTTTAGGGGCCGTACCTGAGGAAGGGCAGGAAGTTGATGGCGCCGGCCACGCCGATGAGCTTGGTGCCCTCGTCCTGGATGCGCTGCAGCCACAGCCAGGTGGGGTCGTCCGGCGCCCACGTCCGCCCGAACACCACGTCGTTCACCACGTTGCCGACGGCCTCCGTCAGGTGGCCGTGGGGGTCCACGCCGTCCTCCACGTCCTCGCGGCCCGTCAGGCTCTGAAAGGGAAAGGGGTCGTTCAAAAAAGACTGCAATCATTTGAGAGGGCACACCCCCTCGGCGCACCGCACTGCATCGAGCGCTCCGAGACCTCGGCTGCTCGGATCAACGCCCCGCAACGCCCAGCTCCCCAGACTCGGCGGCCACGGCGTTATTCGGCATTTTCCGCGACGTGAGACCGCGCAGCGCGCCGCACCGCGTGTCGCAAGGAAGTCCATGTCAGTCTGCGATCGCGCCGATCGGCCGCGCTGTTCTCGCTTTCCGTCGGCCCACGGCCCAGAGGCCCACGGCCCGGCCGGTGCGGCCGTACTTTTCCGCACATCACTTCATTCAATCGTTTGCATTGCTGCATCCGATGAGCCGATGAGTCCAAAAGTTTCCGAGCTACGGACGTTGACGGATGGGCGCGCCCTGGTCGCGCCACGCCGCGCCGCCCCGGCGTTGCAATCGGAATAAGCCCATTCGTTTGTTTTCAGTAAGCAGCTGTCAATATCACTTGGAGTGCGTGCGTGGCGTGCGTGCCAGTGTGTGAGTGAGTGAGTGAGTGAGTGAGTGAGTGAGTGAGTGAGTGAGTGAGTGAGTGAGTGAGTCGAGTGAGTGAGTGAGCGAGTGAGTGAGTGAGTGAGTGAGCGAGTGAGTGAGTGAGTAAGTGAGATAAACTAAATTTCTTTCTCTACAAATATTTGAGGATTTTTTAGGCAAATTAATTTCTCTGAAAGGGCTTTAAGTCTTTTTTTTCTACAATAATATTTTTCAAGTTTTTTTGTCCCTTAAATACTTTTTTTCATTTTTATTTTTTGGTGTGAGTGTGTGTGAGGGAATTAATGGGTTCAATCGTTTCGGGATTCCCTTGCATGCAAATGATTCACTTTGCAACATGTTCGCGCAAGAGGCAAAAGGGGGGCGAGGACATCATCAAAACACAAACAGAGCGATTTCCAGGAATGCGCTCGGCAACAACAGCTGTTTTGTTTTCGTTTTATCCGCTGGACACGACGGGCCGCGGGACCGCTTACCAAAGTACGCGGGATAAGGCCCCTTCCCCACTCCCTCCCCCCTTTTACTCAAGATGAAAATGAATTAAAAAATAACAGAGGGGACACCGAGGCCGCCAGGGGGTACTCCCGCTGTGTGACCAAAACAAGAAAGGATGACTGACCCACGTGGATGGCACGTGGATGGCGTGGATGGTGGGGGCGCCTGACGTCACCGATCAAGACCCGCACAGAGGCCCGTTAAAAAGGCCAAATAGCGTTGGATTTCAACACACGACTTGATTGGTTAGGTTAGGTTGTTTGGACCCCAAGAAAGCGGGACAAAAATGGGGAGTCAGAAATGACGTGGTCTTAGAGAAAAGAGCACTGCGGATGAGCTCCAAGGTGACGTCATTTCTGACTCTCAAGCCCAGATTCGGAATGATCCAATTGCGCAACACTCCAAACCGGAGCCACAGAAAAACAAAACAAAAAGCACACTATTATTGGCAGCTTTAACGACCTGCCAATAGTGCCTTCAACACTTTTATCTTCCACTGTTTACCCTGACGCTTGTTTACGCGCGGTAAGCCAGTCCAGCGATACGCGCCATCTCCACTCGCGCGAGCCGAAAGGCGCCGAAAGGCGCCGAAAGGCCTAAAGCAATCGCTCCTCCGCAGGGCGTCCTTATTTGACCACCATACTTTCCACTCCGCAAATAACAACCGAGGGGGATACAAGAGGTGCTGTTTACTGGACCCGCGTGCGTCCTGCGAACTGCGTACGGCCGTGACGGTCAAATTTAACACGCGTTCAACAGGTTAGGAGCGGCTTGGATGGCCAGGCCGGGCACTCGGTGTTGACGTGTTTACCGCGCTCTACACCACCCTCGCGCGTTGAGGTCTCCAGGATGAGGTTTCCTGCAAGGATCTCGGGGCCGGCGCTAGAGTTCAGGTCTCCCACCCACGCGTCTCCATCGCATCGTCACGAACTGATGACATATTCATCAAAACTCCGTCTACCTATGGGCGTGACAACAACTGGTTCGATGACGCTCTCGTCGTGAGCCTAGAAATCAGGTGAAAACTCTCAGACAGTTGGTGAGGTTCTGTGTGTCGGAGAGCTCGTGTCGCTGTGTCTCCAATAATCGGCAGCCACGAAACATGGTCGCGTTATTCGCAGAGTGGCGGCCATTATTCGCAGGTGCATGCAGGCGAGATGGAACCGCGCGATAAAACGAGCCGAAAGGAATAAAAGCAACGAAGCTGCACCGCGGTAAAGAGGCCACGCGGCGAGGTCAACTCATTTCAATGTCTTTTTTTTTATTTTCATTCTTATTATCATTCGTTTCTAAGGCTTGCTTATAACGGAGCTCAACGAGAGAAAACAGGGACAAGGGTAAATGATTTCGATCGAAATTCCCAGGGTAGGCCCTAGCGAATCAAGGATTCACCACGTGCTCCTATTCACCTGTTTCTAATGGGCAAACCGGCATGTGTTTTGCTCTTTTTTCTATGATTTTCGGAAATGTCGTATTTGATCAAATAGCCAAGCTCAAGCGGAGAGGAAGAGGTGACTTAGCATAAACAAGTTCTCTAACAGTAGTTGGTGCTTCCTGCGAGCTGGCACCCTGCTCTAACGACGTTGAACGAGCGTCCTCTGCCAATGACGTAAACAAACAAGCCGAAGGGCATTTGACGGACCAAAACAAACAACAAGAGCACGGCGCTCGCGAGCAAACTGATAGCCCTCTCCGGAGCAGCTCTCGGGGCACTGACTCCGCCAGGTGCGAATAGTTTCAAAATAACAAGGAGGTATGCCCGGGTGTGATGAACCCTAGCCCGGGCCAGCACTACTACGCCGTTTGCATAAATTTACGTAACGTCACGTGTGTGTTCGTGCGTATGTGTGCACGTGTGTGCGCGCCACTAATGGTGGCGTGATTTGGCGAATCTAAAGTTGGGCTGAGGGGACCCAGGACTCGGACTCCAGGAGTGCTGGCCGATGCTGGCCGTGGAGGTAAGGCCACCTTTGACGCACTGTACGCCATCCTAACGTCCTCCCTTCACGCCGTCAACAACACGGCGCACTGTACAGCCAATGCCGCGCCTTGCAAGGTTCCGCGTCGCCGCGCTGCGGTTTTCTTTCAAAACTTTTTTTTTTTCAATTGTTTTTTAAAAGCGGCACGATTTTTTTTGCTATAGTCCAACAGTGTTTCGGAGAAAACTTGTGGCGAGTGAGGAACACGCGACAAATTGAGTGATAATGAAGCCGGCGGCACCGAGGCGCACCAAGGCGCCCCGAGGGGCCAGGGGGCCCCAAGTGGGTCAAAGTCAACGGCTACACCAACGGCGGAGCCACGGCGCCTCGGCCGCCGAGGTAGCGGATGTCGACTCGATGCATCCTGCAGCCACTCCGCGCAAGGCGCAGAGAAATAAAAAGTCGTCGCGGGCTGGTATTCGAACCCGGGGCCCGGGGGTCGCCCTTACCTCGAGCAGCGCGCTAACTCCCTTGCTGATGCGGGCCTGCAGTCGGTCCCTGCGCGGGCCGGCACTCTTCACGGCGCCCAGGTTCTTCAGCGCGCCCGCCACCATGCGACGCTGCTCACGCCACATCGGGCCCTCGGCGCAGATGAGCCCTGCAGACAGAAATGTTCAACGTTAGAAAAGTGACTAGCACACTCAGACAGACAGACAGACAGACAGACAGACAGACAGACAGACAGACAGACAGACAGACAGACAGTTTGGATTTTATTGGTAGGATTTCAACACAGAGGCACGCAGAGACAGCCAGAGGCAAGTGCGGGGAGCAGTCGATACTCCATCCCGCTGCGCGTAGATACTCCGCGCACAGGCGCCCTTCACTTCCAAGAACAGCGAAACGAAATCCCAGATTTTCCACGTGCTGCCCGACACACGCGGTCCCGAGAAAGCAAAAGGCACAAAACGATAAAAGCAAGCGGCACGGCGACGTCACCAAATCGGAATTTTCGCCTTTCCCAGGCTGGCGCGGGGCCGGCGGCGGGGCGCGGGGCCTCTAGCGGGGCCCTGCCGGAGTCCTCCGGGAACTCCGGGCGCGCTCCAAGGCCAAATGGGATCGCTTTTCCTCCCGATGTTTGTCCATTCTATTATTAATTGCCCGCGCGCGGGACGTTGACCGGGCGACGCCGCGACGCTGAGCCCGCTTGGGCCGCTTGGGCCGCTTGCCGGTGACTGAACTCAAATGCTGCTTTCCACACATGAAATTCCAGCGCGGGAGGAGAGGTTGTTGGCTCGTGGACACCAGCGCCTCGTGCTGGCCGTGCTGGCCGTGCTGGCCGTGCTGGCCGTGCTGGCCAGGGCAATGCGGCTGGCCACCACGGTGCCTTCCAACGCCGTTGTTTTTACCGTCATTGCAAGAAAATCATAAACATCAAAAGGAATGAGAACTATTTTAGTTTCAAGATGAAACTATGCGACATGAAATGGCTTTGGGTTTGTAGAAGCCACTTCATTTGTTACAGGCAAAATGGCAAAAGGTATTGTGCAATATTGGCTCGGACGCCAAAATTTCCCTTCTTTCTACACTTTCCGGGCCAATCGATTTCCGCGTTTTCCACGGCGGTTTTCCCACGGAGATGCCACACACACACCACACACACACACACACACACGTGCGCGCCGGGGCCTAGCCGCGAAGCGCGAACCGGCGAGCGGTGCGGGCGGCAGTGCGCGGGCCGGCTGGCTGGACCTACCACGCGTAGAGCTCCCGTGCCGTGGTCGAGAGTGTTTACGTCCTTGAAACGCGCCCGCCGCGCGCCGCCACGCCCCGCGCCAGGGCGTAGACCCCGCGGCTCGCGGCGTGGCCGGCGTGGCCTGGCCACGCGGTGCTAGAGTACCCAGGTCCTTACCCTGGCCGCTGGCTACCGCTGGCTACCGCCGGCCGGCCGGGACCCGGAAAACCTGCATCCAAGCGGCGAAGCGGCGCGAACTTTCAAACGATACGGTTTGCATAACGAAGGCGCCGCCGCGGTGCCGCGGTTCATCGGGTTCGAATAAAGGTTCGTCCCGGGGCGGCCAGACCGGCCCCGCGCCCCGCAGTGCCCCGCACGCCGCCCACGGACAGTGCAACGCGCAGGTATTTCGATAATTGCAAAATTGGCGGAATGGCGCGGAGTGGCCGCGTCCCGCCGCCGCGTCCCGCCGCGTCCCCTGTTCCTGGGTCAACAACCTCCACGACTCCGCGCGCCGCGCTGCGAGCCGCGGAGCCGCGCCACCGGGGAGTACTCCAGGTTACGCAACACGCCCCCCTCCCCGCCCCGCCGCGCCCCGCCGCGCCCCGCCACGCCCCCCGGGCCGTTGCCCCCAGAGCGCCATTCATGTCGCAATGCGCGCATTGCAAATCCATTCTTTTTGCCCGGAGTGCCCTGCGGATTGACTCGAATTTGGCGAGGATTCGATTAATCGACCCATCGCTTTCGCGCCATGTGGCGCGAGGTGGCCAGGGCCCGCCAAAAATCCCTGGCGGCGTTCCGCGAAGTCGCACGTCGAAGTGACCGCGCGTCGGGCCGCGCCGCCCCGGCTGAAATATGAGCGTGCCTTACGAAAAACCGGGCGCGCCAATTCACAGAAAACGGTTTTGTTTTTGTTTGCCGGCGAATTTCGTCACTTGGACTTCTTTTCCCTTTTTCCCCCCTCCCCTTGATTAGGCTGTGTGGTTATGTTTGAACAGGCTGCAGGAGTTACAGTGACGCCATACCGAGCGGCCGGCTCGGCTCATTGCGAAAAAAGTAATAAAAATAATCAAAATGAGCTACCTGTCACCGCGAATGAATTGCCTACCTTTCCGCTCGTATGCCTGATCGATATACAAGTATACAAGAGGGGCACACCGGCGACAGGCCCCACGCAACCCTGTTCTGAAGGCTCAAGGTCCAACATCAATTTCTCATACTCTTTTTTTTTTACTTTTTGGCCGAAAATGGCCGGCCACACACAGGACTAGACCCGCCAATTCTGCCAAAACAAAAAGGCTGGGGACAGAAATCAATTCGGGGCTGGCGGCATGACCTCAGGTAACCCCAGGCTCACTTTTGGCGGTAAAGACGTCCATAGTGGCGCCTTCACTCCGAGCGCCGTACTACGACTGTACAGTCCAAAACTAGTTTGGACCCAAGGAACAATCTAGTCCCGTTTGGACAGATTCGTGGTGCCCATTGAGCCAAATCATGTACAGTACAAGTCGAAGGATATCTAGCCCACGTTGACCCACCTATGGGCGTCCTTGTCTTGCTTTAATTTTATTCACCTTAAAATGCAACAATCAAATGAAATTTAAATGTATTAATTTTAAAATTTTAATTTTATCTAGTAATGATATTTTTTATGGAAATTTTATGCAGAGAGTATGTCTGTAGTACCGTTTTGTGCCCTCTCAAAACCTTGCAAAAATATTTTAGGTACTTCAAAGAAAATCGTATGATTTTGTTTAGTATTTTAAGTTGCTCCAGCCAGACCGGCCAAACCTGAAGTCATTTTAATTTTTTTCCCATCATTCGAGAGCAAAAGTGACTCGACGAGCCTCAGGAGCGATTCCTCCGCGCGGCAAACTCTAATTTCTATGTAAACACACTTTTAGAATGCCCTTCTCAGTGGTCAATTGTTTGTTTCAGCTGTTTGTGTCTGCGTGGAATGCATGTTGGCAGATGAGCACGCTCTACGCACGCTCTACGTGAGACGTTATGGTCGCAAGTCACATTGTTCTGACGATGATGTATTTCCCACCTCAACGCAAACCTGTTTCTATCGGTGGACTATAACAAACCGCCGTCCTTTTGCGAGACCGAAACTGGCTATTTTTCTCACTCACAATTTTCAATCAGATTTGCTGAGTCACTTGCCACTGACGCTAAAGGAAATTTGTGCGTCAGACTTGGTAAAGTGATAGTAACTTAACGACGTTGGGACAAAGTGACTTCATCTTTCACCTTTGTGAGAAAGATACTGCGAAATGAGTCGGAAATGGGATAAGCCGCGTGGACATTGTGCGAAAGACACTCGCTTCACCACTTCACCAGCCCCCCCCCCCTCTCCTCCTGGATCGAGTAAAAGTCAAGGCCGGCCAGCGGCCCCAGCGGCCAGCGTACCGGCAGTGTAGTAAAAGATAGGCGGGGAGCCGAGCCAATAGGCGTAACCGCATTCTCCGGTAGCCAATAAAAAGAGAGACGCCTGAAAGGGGTTTCGTTTTCGTTCATCTCCCATTGGCAGCCCGCAAAGCGCGTGGCGTCGCCAGGCACGTGGCAAGGCAGGCAAGACCGCGTGGCAAGCCGGCAAGCCCACGGGCCCACGCCACTATGAAATGTATTTCGGGAACGGAGGGAATGGTGGGGCACTCCAGAGGCGAACGGCCCCTGACGTGTGCAATGATCATTCCGATCGGAATGAACATTTTATACAAATGGCGCGCCCGCGTCACTGCGGCCCTCCAGTAAGGCGATGACGTCAGAGCGGCCCGCGAAAAAGAAGCGACAAAAAAGAGGAGAGAAAAAAAGGAACGCGTACCGCACCCAAAGTAAGCAGTCTCATTCATCAGGAGCCGATGATTGCCGAATCCCTTTCGGTCCGAGTGGACGTGCACTCGCGTGTTTCAAGTGCACGCGTACGCGGAGCCATTCACGAGCTGACCGCGCCGAAGTTCGATCAAATGGGTTCAATAAATTAAAAATGAAAACCACGCACCCCCTTAGAGAAATAATGGCAGCTGGGGCTTCTACAATTGATGTGTGTGTCGGCTGTTTTTTGACTGGTTCAGATTTCTCGGAAACAATCAATCGGTCAAGAACTGAGCGACCCGGCCGGATCTTGTCGATACTCCGTACGCAAGGCACCGCCCAGTACGAAAAGTTACTTTGGGCATGGAGTAGCGCTGGTGCTTGTAGCGCCAGCCGCTCGTAGGCCCTTTTCCCCGAGAGAATCTGAACTGAGCCTTTGCCTCGATTGCCACAAGGGCACCCAGAAGCCAATCAGAACGCTTTAGTTTCTCAGTGACCAGCCGCTAGCCCTACACGACCGCGTATGCGAGAATATCGGATAGAGTGCGTAGGAAAAATAAAGTATGCGCATAACTCTTCGGCTTTGGCTAATCACTTCAAGTACCGCGACCGCGAGCATACGAGTTGTTGCGGGTGGGAATGTGTCCGTTTACATGTCGGTGTGTTTGTGTGTGTGTGTGTGTGTGTGTGTGTGTGTGTGTGTGTGTGTGTGTGTGTGAGTGAGAGAGAAGGCGGCCTGGCGCGGCCTGGCGCGGCCTCGCAGTCCGGATTACTAACGCGAGGAAGACCACCTTGACCGGATGGAGGATGACTTCCCAGCGCCAGAGCAGTCAGCGCCACTGAGGCCTCTGCGGACTCGCTTTCGTCGCTCTGTCTCTCTCGCACCGATACGGGAGACCCTTGACTGCGAGAGAGACAGAGCAAAGGAAAGGACTCTCGGCAGCAGCCCGGCGGCGCCTTGTAGAGCGCGCGCGCATCCAAACACCTACGACTGGAAGCACAGGGCTAAAAGCGAGAGGCACCCTGTGCGAGACTAGAGGCGCGTAAAAGACTAAAAAGGGGTGTGGAAGGAGGTGTGTCCGTGACGCACGGCTGGCGGCAAGGCGCGTGCGGTGGGTTGCCTGCGCGCACGGCGCTAGGCGCGGCCGCGCTGGCTTGAGGCTGGTGCAGCCGAGGTGCGCGATTACAGATCGAAACCGCAGCAGACAGATCCCGAGAGCCGTTTTCGTCGCTCCGCCTCCCTCTCGCACTCGCGGAGCGTTCCTTACAGGTGCGAGAGAGACAGCTAAGCGCGACGAGGGCACTGCACCGCACAATTCGCGCGGGAACAGGGCGTACTCGCGCGCCGCAGACGACCCGGCATCGCCCGGCATGTCCGGTGCAGCGGGGCGGCGGTTGAACCAGGATGAACCCCTCGCCCTCGCCTCGTCTCACTCACACACACGCCCATTGCACGTAGGTAATGAGATGCAATCGCGCATAATCGGTTGAATGAAATTCCGAGAAAAGGGTGTGACGGCGCTGCCGACCGGGCTGGGGGGGGGGGGGGAGTGATGAGCATCCGAAGGGTTACCTCGGGTTATGCATCAACTTGATGAGGGCGCAGCGAGGAAACTACAAACAGGCTGTCGTTTTCATTATCTTTTACATTGCGAGCGGCCAGAAGACCGGTGCAGACGGTCAAAATCCCGGGCGCGTTTTGAGCTCCAGAGTCGCTAAATGGGACTCGAATCGAGCGAGTGACCCCACCAATGGATTCCTCGTTCGGAGAGCAATCCATTGGTGGGGTCACACGTTCGGTTCGAGCCCTGTTTAGCGACTCTGGAGCTCAAAACGCGGCTAGAGTTTCGGCCGCCGGCCTTCTGGGAGCCAGCGCAGCCAGCGGCCGGCCGGGCCCCCGAGCTGTATAAAGAAGAAAAAGGGAAATAGGGCTCGAATAAAAGGGAGATGATCGCTTCGCTTCCGAGAAGAAGGAGTTGATTATCAAGGCAGGGCGCGCCACATTCCAGACGGCCCGCCCACAAATCAGTGCAGTCGGTTGGCGAAGCGGCCCGAAGAACGCCACCATCAAGAGGCCTCACCTCACACAGGTCTCGGCCTGTCTGGCACAAATGGAAAGGTCCAGGGGAAAAGAGAGAGAAATTGAAAGTGAGAGTGTTTGTCAGCGTGCTGGGCATGGGTCGGGCACTGCACCGGGCAGACGCCCAGAAGGGTCGGCTGCAGGGCCGCAGGGCTTAGGGCGCCCTATCACCGCGTTCCTGGAAGGACGGCCCTCGTACCGGGAAAGGGGGCACAGTGGGCCAGAAGACCGGTGGAGGCGGACACAACTCTAGAAGCGGTTTGAGCTCCAGAGTCGCTAAACAGGGCTCGAACCGAATGTGTGACCCCACCGATGGATTGCTCTCCGAACGAGGAATCCATTGGTGGGGTCACACGTTCGGTTTGAGTCCTGTTTAGCGACTCTGGAGCTCAAAACGCGTCTAGAGTTTTGTCCGCCTCCACCGGTCTTCTGGCCCACTGTGGGGGGCCGCAGGTTCAGGGCGGCAGGGCAGCAGGGCAGGGCGGCCCCCTAGCGCCACCCTCGGCCCTCGGGTTGGGCATACTACACCAAAGGGCCAAAGGCGAGGCCCAGGGCCAAAGGGTTCGGGGGCCGCCACCAAGCCCGCTGAGCCAGCACCGCGACAGCTTGGCCGGCGACGGCCACGTGCTTTTGTTTGCTAGGCTTGCTACTTTCGGAAACCATCCCTCCCCCCCCTTTCCCCATTCCCTTTCCTTTTCTACGGTCGACAAAAAGTAAAAATAGCCGGTGACGGCATCCATCCAACCCGGAACCCTCGTCCGACATGGAAGGTACCGCGTAGATACGCCCAACGGGGGTTCGGTCCCTTGGGTCCCTTTGGGTCCCTCGGGTCCCTCGTAGGGTCCTCGCAGGCCCTTGCCCTCACGCCTATCCGGATGGTGTTGCGTCACCTCGTACGTGCGGGCCGACACATCTGGACGCGTCTGGACTCATCCGGCAGGGCGCTGGCCAGCACTGTATCGCGGCGGGCGGCAGGGCGGCGGCAGGACGGCGGCCGGGGGGTCTCGATGGCGCCCAGGGCGTTCACTCCGCGCGGGTTCAAAACACCGAGTCCGCCGAGTCCAAGGATGCGGGGTCGCCCTGCCGCTCGCTCCAGGTAGCTCTCCAGCATGGCTCCAGGCGGGGCGACCAAGCCCCGCCATGGACCCGCCAAGCACGACGACCAGCCCGGCCACTTACGCGGGGCTTTCCGGGAAAACGGAACCAAACCGCCAACGGACGTCGCAGCCAATCACAGCACAAAAGGGCCGGCGTTTACGTAAAACGACGAGCCGGAACAGGGCGCGCGGGCCCGGAGCCGGACTAGGCAGCGCAGGCAGTGCAGGCCCTGCACCAGTGCATTGCTCCGGCCGGCCGGCAGTGCAACCCAGTGTAGTGGCGGCGTGCCCTGCCCGTGCTCGGACTCCGGGGTGACGTCAGCGCGTCAGTCCAGCAGTCCAACGCCCCCAGTGTCCATGACACCCGGCCGCCACGCCACGCCGCAGCCCCGCTGGGGCTCCGGGCCTCCCCCGGCCGAACCCCCGGCCACTTTCACTCTCAGCGTAGGGGTCGCCGACCGGCCAAAATCCAAATTGGTGTCCGGAGTCTCATAAGCAGAGATAACGAAATCCAATTGTGAAATTGACGTGACGCTTTTGCATCCCACCGTTTTACATGCAGACGCAAGCGGCGTTTGGAGTCGGAGTCCCTGGTGGAGACACTGGCCGAATCGGAGGAGGACGGCGCGGGCCCGCGATGGAGAGGCAGGAATGCCCCCCGGAGTCCCCGGGGCCCCGGGGCCCGGCCCCCTAGGAGAGTGACGTCAGTTCGACAACTATTGCATCATTGCGTGCTCGGAGCATCGCGCCAAGTGAGTTAATTGCCACAGGGACCTGGTGACGTGCGAGGGCTCCGCGTAACGTTCCCCCGCCGGGGGTGCGGGTTCGAATCCCCGATAAGGTACACCACTTTTTTTCCCTCGTTCCTTCTCCAGTGCGCGTCACGGCAGCATTTTGTAGTACTAAATTATTTGCGAGTTCGATTATGGCAGCCGCGGTGCGATGAGGAGAAATTAGAGTGGTGCACAGTGGGCCAGAAGACCGGCGGAGGCGGTCAAAACTCTAGACGCGTTTTGAGCTCCAGAGTCGCTAAATGGGCCTCGAACCGAACGTGTGACCCCTAATGGATTCCTCGTGCGGAGAGCAATCCATTGGTGGGGTCACACGTTCGATTCGAGTCCCATTTAGCGACTCTGGAGCTCAAAACGCGTCTAGGGTTTTGGCCGCCTCCACCGGTGTTCTGGCCCACTGTGTGGTGGCGCAGAGCGAGCAGAGCGCGCAGAGCGCCTGCGAAGTGGCGAGTAGGCCGTGCCGCAACACGCGCGTGGCAGGCGGGTAGGCCGCCATTCGAACGAGGGGTTCATCTGCGACAGAGACGGCGACGGTGCTTACCGTGTCCCTGCATGAGGCCGTGCGTGAGGTACAGCGGCGCGCGCCCCGAGCACGCCTCGCGGGCCAGCGCGGTGCGGACCAGGGCCTCCTCGGCCAGCACCACGGCGCGCACGCCGCCCATGGGCACGGTGAAGATGGGCCCGAAGCGCCGCGACAGCGCCGTCAGCGTCTCGTGGGGCCGCAGTCGGTCCAGCCAGGGCAGGTAGCCGACCACGGGCAGCCCCCACGGCCCCGGGGGCAGCCCGCGTGGCCCGCGGCCCCACAGCCCCCAGGCCGCCCACAGCGCCCACACCGCCCACACCGCCAGCACCAGCCACATCTGCAACAGAGGAGAAGAGTCAAGTCTATGGCCAAAATACCGCGAAGCCACGTCGGCACTCGGATTCAGTCGACGAAACCCAGTCAAAACCAGACGGAGGGTCGTCAAATGCATGAGCCTCGGCGATGAATGGGAAATAAAAGCCCAGCTCCGCCTTGAGACCGGTATCAACACAAGACGATCAGCCGAGCGAAATCAAATTCATGTCCGGCGAAGCGGAATAGGCAAGCGGCAGTACACTGAGCCGCCACCGCGATGGCGACAAGCATTTCCACGAAACGGAACAAAGACGCCTCGACCGCCAAATTGGCAAAACCAGCAAAACGGCCGGACCGCGAGATTGGCGGCCAGGATCAAGCTGGTATGCCGCTTGCGTCCGTATGAGAAACTCGTAGCACCCGGCAAAGAATTTCTCGCGTTGTGTTGGAAAACTATTCGACCTTGGACCAGCGCGTGGCGCTCCACGGCCCTTTCCACGCCCCCTCCTCCACCCTCCCCTTTCCCTTCCCGGACGGAGCCCCCGGCCCCCACCGGGCCCACCGCGGTGCCGGGCCTGCCGGGCAGCGGCGCAGGTAAGCCTGACGAGAAAGGTGGCAGGCGGTGGCAGGCCTAGTCCAAGAAGAGGCGCAGCGCCGCATCGCGCAGCAGCCTAAAGCGCGGTCGGGTTGGGGGCTTCCCGGGGCAATGTCAACACAAAGAAAGTAGCCAGTGGTACACTAGTACACTGCCATTCGCTCGAGACTTTGGCGCGAGTTTCAGGGCGGGTGCGACCGCCGCGCGCCGCAGGCACACCAACCTACCAACGAAAGCGGAGGGGGGGGGCACTCCAGTATAGACATTCTGTCGGAACGAACAAACAGCGCGAACCACGTACGTAGTACTACGGCAAACACTTGTACTGGTGCAAACGCCAAGCACACGGACTCGCGACACACACACGAGCTGCTGCAGCGGCGAGGGACAAACAAAAACCCCGCCCGCGAAGACGACCTAACCTCTACAAAGCGCTGTTACTCTCCGGCCAAGAGGCAGTCTCTCTGCCGGCGCCCCCGGCAGCTCCACCGCGACCGAGCGCGGACCCACAGCTGTCTCGCTCGACACCTGAACCTCACACACACGCACACACCTGAGCCTCTCGTTGGTGACGAAAGCAAAGGGCACCTCTTGAGTCTTCTCTCTCCACAGTTGTCGCCACTGACGGCCTGACGGCCTGGCGGCGCGCGCCACCGGATGCCCGGCAAGCACGTCGCGAACCAAAGCGCACGGAACGACCGACTCAGCAAAACAAGGCTTTGCTTCGCTTTGCTATGGGGCAGCTTGCCGGGCAGCTGGGCCGGTGCTGCGTGCTGCTGGTGGCGACTCGGTGACTCGGTCTCCGGACAACTACTGGCGAGGGCACGTCGAGCACCCCGGGCACGTCGCTACCTGCAGGGCATGCCCCAGGCCGCGCCTGGCCGCACCACCCTCCAAATCCGTCGCCTGTCCTCGACTCCGACACTCCGACAGCATCAGGCGGCCGCGCCACGCCGAGCCATCAGCATTCGGCACTCGGCATTCAACACCCATCCTGCATAACTCATGACTCCGAGGAGGCCCCGTCGCCGTGTCCGGCCGCCAGCCCCGCAGACAGAGCGACGCAGCGCTGGAGTGGTTAGACCCTAGACGCGTTTTGAGCTCGGAGTCACTTAGTGGAGCTCGAACCGAAAGTATGACCCCACCAATGGATTCCTCGTTCGGAGAGCAATCCATTGGTGGGGTCACACGTTCGGTTCGAGTCCTGTTTAGCGGCTCTGGAGCTAACGCGTCTAGAGTTTTGGCCGCCTCCACCGGTCTTCTGGCCCACTGTGCGGCGGGCTCTGTAACCAGGCGTGTTTCTCCTCTTCCGTTGGCCGTCGGCAAGCGTCCTCCACGCAAAATAGGGGGAAATCACGAGTGAACGTCAGAGAATCGGGTGGCCGCTACCCCGCGCGCGAGAGACTCCCCGTACTAACCTAAAGCACGGCCTGCGCGCGTGGGGTATTGATTGACGGGCGCGTTTCTTCTCCACTGGAAGTGTACGCGGCTCCAGGGCCAGTCAGTGGTCCATCTCGTCCATCTAGGCCGAGCGGACGGCCCCGGACGGACGCACAGTGGGCCAGCAGACCGGTGGAGGCGGCCAAAACTCTAGACGCGTTTTGAGCTCCAGAGTCGCTAAATGGGACTCGAACCGAACGTGTGACCCCACCAATGAATTCCTCGTTCGGAGAGCAATCCATTGGTGGGGTCACACATTCGATTCGAGGCCCATTTAGCTACGGAGCTCAAAACGCGTCCAGAGTTTTGGCCGCCTCCACCGGTCTTCTGGCCCACTGTGGGACGGCCGTGCCGCCGTGCGTCTCGGCTCGGTCGGCCCCATCATTTTCGAGCCTCCGAGTCTTCGAGTCCAGGACGGCAATGACCGAGGACTGTGTCAGTAGGGAAGCGTGCTCCCACCTCGAGGCGCTCGGCGCGCTCGGCGCCGCGGCCAAGGCGCCCCACCGTGGGAATGGCGTGGCGTTGCCGGCGGTGCGCTGGGTGGGCACCATGGATGGGCACGGCGCGGCGATACCCCTCGATACGCCCACCATAACCTACGTTCTGCCTCCCCAAAGTTAGCGCCCCACCGTGGGAATGGCGTGGCGTTGCCGGCGGTGCGCTGGGGTGGGCACCATGGATGGGCACGGCGCGGCGATACCCCTCGATACGCCCACCATAACCTACGTTCTGCCTCCCCAAAGTTAGCGCAGGGATTGTCTCCAGATCCAATGCCGGCTATTGCACACTCTCTTCGAAAGGGTTGCGTGCACTCGTCGCGGGACTCAAGATGCGATACTGGACCAGCTTGCCGACTGCGGGACGCCACTCTGAATCTGCAGGTGGGTCCGCGCCTGCAGCCTGCGAACGCCGCAAAAACGCGGCGGCCGGCCGAAGCTCTGTTCCCCCTTTTTGGCATCTGGAGGCACGCGGTTCGGTGGGCATGGCCCGGTGGGCATGCGGCATGCAGGCCATCGGCAGGCCATCGGCAGGCCATGCACGGGCCGAGACGGCCGAATCGAGGGCGCATGGAGCCGCTCCCCGCCTCGGCCGCCTCCGTCGAGGCCTGGTTCGAGGCCACAGACTGCTTGCCCTGCTCCCTTTAATACCCTCAGGCCGGCCCAGGAGACTCATTCCGAGAGTCGCGTCTCTCTCGCACTCGCGCGGCGTCCCGTACCGGTGCGAGAGAGACAGAGCGACGGAAAGGACCCTCGGAATCAGTCGACAGGCCGCAGGGAAGGCCCGCCTGACAATAACGGTCGGAATACGGGGCAGCGTGCCGCAGCCCCGCGCAGCCCAACCCGCGCAGCCCAACCCGCGCAGCCCAACCCGCGCAGCCCAACCCGCGCAGCCCAACCCGCGCAGCCCAACCCGCGCAGCCCAACCCGCGCAGCCCAACCCGCGCAGCCCAACCCGCGCAGCCCAACCCGCGCAGCCCAACCCGCGCAGCCCAACCCGCGCAGCCCAACCCGCGCAGCCCAACCCGCGCAGCCCAACCCGCGCAGCCCAACCCGCGCAGCCCAACCCGCGCAGCCCAACCCGCGCAGCGTAAGCGCAAGGCGCAGGGCACGGCGGCCAGGTTGTAATGACACACTTCACCCTGGCGGGGCAATGGCCTGCAACGCCACGGCAACGCCTCGGCAAGGCCCGCACCCCCCGCGACGGCCCACGGTCTAATTTTAGCGCGCCGAAACCCGATACGCCAACAACAACAACAATTGGAGGTGCTCGGGCCGTTCATGTAGGCCCTCCGGTACTCCCTTCGGCCGGCTGCACCGGGACCAGGTGCCTCTCGCCTCTCCCGCTTCTCGCACATTCGCCCCCCCCCCCTCCTCTCCATCTCGCTCCTTTGCAAAAGGAGTGACGGAGACAAACGGTGACGGTGGATGGCACGCAGCCCTTTAACACTGACCTTCTTTACGCCGCGGCCAGCGGGGGGCCGTTACATGAGGTACGTGCCTCTTGGGGTGTCTTATTTTGGCACGGCAGATCCCATCTTGCGTGCAACTCGCATCTTTTGTCTTTTTCGAAACACTCTGTGTCAAAGACACCGGAGGTGCAAGCACCAGAAGCAGGCTGACTCCGAGAGTCGTTTCCGTCGCTCTGTCCCTCTCGCACCCGTAGCGGACGCCCCATGAGTGCGAGGGAGACAGTGCGACGAAAAGGACGCCCTGAATGAGTCTGCAGGACAGTGACCCCGCGTTACGCCGAGGCCCGCGTCGACCGCGTCGTCCGCGTCGTCCGCGTCGTCGTCCTGGTAAAGGATTGCCTCGGCGTGCCGCCGGAGTGCCGGCCACACGTTCGGCCCGAATTCGACTGTTCCACATTGTTGATTGGAGGCTGTGGCTTCCGGCTCCCAGCTGGGGCGGGGCGGGGCGGGCGGGGCGGGGCGGGGCGGGGCGGGGCGGGCCGAGGTTCCCGAGGGCACTGAACTCAGCTCCGCCCCTCCATTGAATAATTTTCAACGGAACATCGCCCCAAATACCTACATTTTCACTCTCCGTGAGTACGGCGGCCGGGGCAGTGGCCTGGGCAGCGGCCGGAGGGGCGGCGCTGCAGCAGACGACGAGGGGAGGGGAAGGGGGAGGCGGTCAGAGGGGGGGGATTGGCGGCGGCAGTCGGTTAGGCCCCTCCGAAAGGAGGTGCTTCAGTCTTCAGTCGCAGCAGGAGCACGGCCGCAGCAAGGCGTCCTCACTGCTCTCCTCGACAGTGTACAAACTGACGAACTTGCAACCCAAATAACCGCTGCATGTACATGTCGGGTGGATTGTTCTGCGAATTGCCCGCCAAGGGCGGATCCAGATACGGTCTTGAGGGGTGGTCGATGTCGCAGAAGTTGCGGACAAAGTGCGCGACTTGCTGTCCGCCTTTTAGGGTAGGCAACAACCCCATCGCCTACCCCTGGATCCCCGGATCCGCGCCCTCTTTCGCCGGCCTGCAGCGGCCTGCAAGGGGAGGGGTGTGATGACCTCCGCGGCCAACGCCCTGGGTGTGCGTGGTGCACGCCTGGCGGCCCGAAGCCGGCTGCCCGGCGAGGCTGATGTACAAAACCGAAGCCGAATTGGCCGTTGCTTCCGCAGTTTGCGTAATGTCCCGCGGCTAGGACCGCCAGCTGACTCATTCAGTCGTCGCTCTGTCTCTCTCGCACTCATGGGGCTCCCGGTGTAGGTGCGAGAGAGACAGACGACTCTCGGGTCTTTCATCCCCCGCGCCGCGTTCGCGCGCAAGGAAGTCGTCGGCGTGGACCGCGCCGGTCGCCGATTTTGAAGAAGAAGGAGAAGGCCGCCGAGGTGCCCAGAGGTGCCCGTCGAGGGAAGGGGCGGTGCACGTGCGCCTCGAGTGCCACGTGTGCTGCCGCCACGCCGCGCCGCGCCACGCACGGCCGCGGCGCCGAGGTGAACACCCTGCTCGCCCTGCTCGTCCTGGTCCTGCAGTGACTCATAACACTCCTTGCGGCGCCCTGCCGGTCCTTGCCGCCTTGCGGTGTTATAGTGGTCGGCTTTCACGTCGCTCCCGGGGCCTCCCGGGGCCCGGCCAAGGTGAAGGGGGAGGGGGCCAACCCGGGCCAACCCGATCAAAAGGACCGAAGGAGTGGGGACAGTGCGCGGATGAGAAAGGGCCTGACTTGCCCCTCTGGGGCCCTAGTGAGGCGGACCGGGCCCCGAGTGGGGCCGAAGCAAGGCGAAGACGGAGAGAGGGGAGGGGCCGAGGGCAGACCCAGGGGGGCCCAGGCCAGGGGACCCAGACACGTTGGCCCGACTGACCCACTGCACTACTCCAGTGCGGCGCGGGGCTCGCGGGGCGGGCTGTACACGCCAGGCCCCGTCTGGTCGCCTCTTGGGCCCCACTCCGCCCCGCCCCGCGCGGGCCCTGCTTTGTAAATACGCACGACGGCATGCACATGGCAATGCAAGTTGGGGAAACGCCCGCTGGAGTCTCGCTTGTGGTCGTCATTCTTGAGCTGCGAAAAATACATCGTTCCTCAACTGGAGTTTTATTTTCCGAAGACCTCTCCAGCTTCTCCAGGGGAGGAGGGAGGAGAAGGGAGGCCGCAGGCCGCAGGCGGCGCGCTGAACCTGCTCCGCCTGGAGACTCCAGTCCCAGACTCCAGACTCCCTCCCCTCCCTGTCCCCCTTACGGGGTCATTCACCCGGAGAGTGTAATGCAAAATACACCGAGTCAGCGGCCGCACTAGCCGCGGCCGCCCCACCGCGCCCCGCCCCGCCCCGCCCCGCCCCGCCCCGCCCCGCCCCGCCCCGCCTTGGCGCGCAGACGCTGTCTGCCAGACAGCCTGGCCCCGTGCCATTCCAGCCCCGCATTCTTTGCCACGGTACAATAGTTTGCTGGGAGTGCATTTATAGAGCACACACGAAACAGATTGTGTTTGCACGAGTGTTGGGGCCGATGGGCCGACGGTCCGATGCGAAATGGACGACTTGTTCTTAGGTCCCCAGCTTACCCGTTTAGTACATGCTCGCCCTACTTCCAACCCAATTGAACCGTTACGGACCCAAAATTGAAACCGGTCGCTCGGTTCGTGGGCCTCAAAGAGGCGTCAACTAACTTCACCGCCTTCTAAGCCGGTACAAAAGGAAAGGGAGCCTCAATTTGGGGATCTAGTTTCTAGTGGAAGAGCCGCACAGAGCTCTGCTCGATATTGGCCAATTTGACTCTGCTCGATATTGGCCAATTTGACTCTGTTCGATATTGGCCGATTTGGAAATAAAGGGGAGGTCGTGCGTCCAGCGTTACGTCTTTGTCGTGCTTTCGTTTGACTCGATTTTGGAAAGCTGGGCGTAACACTCGGATAAGGACACGCTTATTTATGCGCCCACCGAGAAAGTGGCAAACAAATGTCCGAAAACGAACCGACCAGCCTGGCCGGCGCAGCCCGCCTTCCTGCCTTCGGAAAGCCGGGCGCCCCGCCCCGCCCCGCCCCGCCCCGCCCGCCGTACACAGCCGCAGCCCACACCCATTTAGCAGGTGTTACATGCGAGGGGGCCAGGTGGACCACTTTGCCTCTGTATGGGTGAGCGTGCGTGTGTGTGCGTTCTTATGCGCTCGATGGTTTCGTGCGCTCGCCTGTGTAAATCATTTGAAGTTTGTGTGTGTGTGAGCGTGTGTCTGTGTGTACCTCTGGTGCCTCTGGTTCTGAGTGTGCGTGTGTGTGTTGTGTGCGTGTGTGAGCCGGTCTCCTGAGGGCAATAACCTCTCTGCTTGTAGTTAGCGGCAGACAGAGTTAGAGGGTCTCAAAGCCGCCCGAGGTCCGCCGGCAGACCGGCAGCCACTTTTTTCTCTTTTTTCTTCTTCTTTATTTTTTTCTCTCCGGCATATTCATCTCTCTCTCTCTCCCTCCCTCTCGGGCCGTCTCCCGGATTAGGTCAGTGGTTCACTGAGTATTTGTGTGTCTGCATGATGATGAAGGCCGGCTGAGTCTAAGGCAGGGCAGGGCGGCCAGGTGCCAGGTCGTTCACCCCAGTCAGCTGGCCGCAGCCGCTGCCGGCGCTGCCGCCACGCCGTGCCACGCCGTGCCACGCCGTGCCACGCCGTGCCACGCCCGCCACGCCGTGCCACGCCACGACGGCCCACAGTCCCCAGGCTGCGCCGCAGGCCCACAAGCCGCGGCGGCGCGGCGGCGCGAGTGAGCTAAGACCTGTCCAGGCAATCAGATTGCACTGCTCCAATTCAATTTTTTAAACAATCTGGAAGGCAACTTCGCTCCTCGATTTGACGGTGTCTGGCTCCCCCGGGGAGCCACTTGCAGTGAAACCACCTGGTGGCCACTGGACACCGTTGCACAGCCACTGAATGCCGACAAGCATGGCAATCCCTGGTGCCCTGGTGGTGACTGGAAATCAACAAGGGTGGATTTAAAGGGAGGCCTTTCCCCCAGCTTTGGCCCCTGGAAAGTCGCCTGAAAGGCAAGCCAAAGGCAACACTTCGCTCTGTGGGCAAAAAAACCACGCTTGCCCTTGCAAGCAGGCAACAAGCGTCACTTTGTTCTGGCAGGCACACTGGCAGGCGGCATGCCCGACGGACAGCCACTGGAAGCCCATCCACTCCGTCGGCCGTTGCCTCGCTTTTTATCACTCTTTTTCTTGCACTCTTGATACTGGTTTCTGGTTTTGGCAGTGGTCGTGTCGCGTCGCGGCCCACAGCACCTGCTAACGTTATACAACTTGCACCAAACGGGTTGATACCGAAATAAATCGCGGTACTCGACAAGGGAAGCCGCCGATTGGTATCCTTTTAATCCCGCGTACCCGTCGTACCCACCCCGCCAGCCCCGCCAGCCCCGCCGTGGTGCCTCGAGGGGAGGGCGGAGAGGAGAAAACCGCCGGGGCCTCCACCCCGTCTTCTGTCGCAGGAGGAGGGAATTTCCCCCAGAGTACTCTTCGTTCGCTGCGAAAGAAACCACCCTCCGCCAACTCTGTCGTTGGCTGCACACCAAACTCCTTTGTGCGGTTGGTGGTCTCGGGCACAGGTCTGGGCCGTGGCGCACAGTGGGCCAGAAGCCGGTGGAGGCGGCCAAAACTCTAGACGCGTTTTGAGCTCCAGAGTCGCTAAATGGGGCTCGAACCGAACGTGTGACCCCACCAATGGATTGCTCTCCGAACGAGGAGTCCATTGGTGGGGTCACACGTCCAGTTCGAGGCCTGTTTAGCGACTCTGGAGCTCAAAACGCGTCTAGAGTTTTGTCCGCCTCCACCGGTCTTCTGGCCCACTGTGTGGCGGCCGGGCGGGCTGGCGCGGCGCCCCTGGCGGGTAGGCAACGGTCGGCGGCCAGCGCAGCACTGTCGACGGCGTGGCCCAGGTGCAAGGGGTTTGGCTGAGGCTAGAGCCAGCCGGGCAGCCAGCCACAGGCACAAGCCACAGGCCAGCCGATCCAGGCTCCACAGCCGTGCCAAAGCACACAGCCCAGACAGCCACGCCAGACAGCCTCGAAGCCAGTGCGGCACAGGCGTGGCCGTTGAACCCTCAATGTGTAACTTTTCCCGTCCAGACTGCCTCTGCCGCGTCGAGCCCCAGGGCCCCAGGGCGCAAAGGCGGCGCCTGCAGACAGGCGGACAGCCGGGCATGGACAAAGGGGAAAGGACCGAGCCGGTGTTTGAACCCCCGTCCCGTCCCCTGTGCCCGGCAAACATGCGAGTGCGAGTATGAGTTTCTCGCTTCCCTGCGGCTGCGGCTGTGGCACTTCCCCGTTCGAAGTGTTTTCGCGCCAAAAGTTAGAGTGGCCATTCGGCCTCTCCCACCTATTCGGAAGGTCCCATAATTATGAGAAAGACAGCGAAGGAAACGACTCTCTGAACGCGTCTGCAGAGCCTTCCACGTCGAGAAACGCTGCTCGCTGCGCACGCCCGTGCTGGTCCTCCTCGTCCTTTTGTTGCTCTCCTTCGAGGCCCCACGGGTCCTGGCCTGCCCAGTCCAGGCCGACAGGCCAGGCCGACAGGCCAGGCCCTGCTCGAAGGTCTGGTTGTTGGTCTGGGGTCTGGCCCTGCGGCTCGCTGAGGCGGGCGCGAGGTCCGAGGTCCTCCAGGACCAAACTGGCTTTGTGTTGGGCTGGGTTGGGCGGGGTTGGAGCTCCAGTCGGGTGGAGCCGCAAGATTTGAGGTCAAGTTGTGAACCAGCCAGCCAGCTGACTCGAGTCCATGCGCTAACGGGACTTCAGGGAACCGAACACAATGCCAGGCCCGCGCAGGCCATCCCGGGCAGGGCCGTGGCAGTGCCAGGGTCAAGCCTTTTTAACGCCCTGTGCGCGTGTGTGTGTGCTTTTCACGACACAGGGTGCCCCTCAAAATTAGGGTCACTGTGAGGCAAGTCGCCAGTCAATGTTTGTTCGGCGACAAGAAATTTTTAATACAATTTGCACTTTTGGTTGGAACTTTGGTAGCTAAAGAAATTATTACTTCATCATGTCATGACGTTTAGTGGGAAGTGGGAGTGAGGGGAAGTAATGAACAACAATATTCTTTCTTCATTTAAAATATATTTTAGAAGCAGGACTATACAGATAAAATTTTCAAGCTTGCTAAACATACAAAGCCAGGATGAAAGCTATTGATTTTCATGTTTGGCAAAGGATTCAACATTTAACATTGCTGGTCATGTTAGAGTGCACACAGTGTAACAACAGCTGGCTGAAATTTCATCTTACGTTTACGGAAAGTCATTATCACAAGCACCATACAAAAGGGACAGTGAGAAACTGCACCAAGGTGGTACCTAAATACATTGAAGGCATTTTTCAGAATTGAAAATTGCCAAAATCACAGATAAATAATTAAGGTAGATACAAGAACTCTGCACAATACAGCATCAACAGAATAATGCTCATTAATCCACACTTTCTCACAGATATACAATACTAATGGTAGAAGGTGTTCATTAAGTATGCTCATGTTTAGACAATGATAATGAGCTAGAGCCAGACTGGATGCAACAATTTATCAAAGCAAAAATAACAACAATAGATCAACCTTGTGAGTAATAAACCCACAACCGAAACGTTTTTAAATGGGCGGATGGGAAAATGACAAAAGAAATGTGAAAAATCTGCACATTGCCTTTTACTAATAACAAAAAAAAGAGACTCCTACTGGTGGTGACTATCCACTCAACACTAAGTACTGTAAAATACAAAGATTCAAAAATCATACATCAAACTTAATTCCATAGACAACACAGTTTAAAACTCTGTGACATAAAGTAAAAAGATAAGTCTGAATGATTCTTTAAGAATCGAATCTGTTACTAGACTCAGAACCTACACTAAAATCAGCCCAAATTCTTAAACATCAAAGTCTATAAAATTTCAAAATAATACTAAATAAAATCTTACATCAAAAGTCACGGTGCATTTTTTATGAACTATGAGCAACCTTATATCAGTTCAAATTTTGATGGTTAATATTATTTTAACCTGACTGTAAAAAGAGCTACATACAAAGAGTTCATAACACAATGTAGTGTCAAAAATGTCAGTGGTCCACATATTCAGGCCAAAATCAAGAATGAAATCTTTTATTCCTCCTTTCACTTTTTGAGCCAAAAGAAATTGAATAAATACTTACATAAATAGAATTAACTGAAAAGCACCAGAGAACAAAAACCACTAATATAACCTTGTCTTGATTGTGTTGCTTCCTGAATAAGTTAACATGGAAATACTGTATGTTACACATCTCAATATAATAATTTAGCAATACGATCCCTATGGTAATAAAATATGTGGTGCCAAAGGTAAGAAGTGTTGATGCAAACAATAGTGAAATGCAAAAACAAATTTGGATGACATTGACTCATGAGGGTAACAATTAGAACAATCATGATTATCAAATGGCTACAACAATTACACTAAATTAGGAATTTTAGCTCAGCATTGGTAAACTCTCCACCTCACCCATTTCAGTCACTGTGTCATCATCCATGGAGTAACTTACCATGAACTTCAGATTTACCGGTACCTACAAAGGAATAATACAAATTAGTGCAACCATATAATTTAATGGTGCTTTCATTACTTAATTCAATAGAGGATGGTGTAAGATAAAAGATTACCTTGGAAGGGTTAGCAACTAGCATCACTTGAGTAATAGCAGATGGAGGAAGAAATGGGTTATGAGCTGGGAGCTCTGAACTAGATGCTGGAAGTAATCTGAGCTTACATGTCTGGAAAAGTCAAAAACAATAGTGAGACACTGTGTATTGTTTAAAATAATAAAATCCTATGTAGAATGAAGAGTAAACTACTGTACCTTAGGAACGACTGCTTGAAAGACATAATTAGATAATGGTGATGAATTCTTGCTAATTGTTGATACAACGTAGACTGACACATCAGGGCGAGGAGTGTCCCTTGCCAAATGTAATACAACTGATATCCCATTCCGTTCATCAAGTGCTGTGAGAGGGGCAATAGGACCTGAAAAAGACATCAAGTTTCATTGAGTCAAAAACAATTGCTTGTTGTAGAGAGGGAAATCAAACAAGCAGAAGCATTAACTTACCAGGCTTAATACTGTCTAAAGAAACTGAAATGTCATTCAGAGACTTCACCTCAGTCACCTTGACTGGCTCAACAGTTTCACCGGCCTTCTTTTCTACAGGAGTAGGCGGTGGATTTTCCTTGGCTGGAGTACTGGCACTGGGTGCGTCCCCCTCAGTTGGAGGTTTTGGTTGTGATGGGGGAATTGTGGGAGACACAGCATCATCTGTCAAGTCCACCATAGCGTCATCACCATTCAAGAGATCATCGGCATCGAGAAGTGTATTGCTTTTTTCCTGTTTGCTGCTTGAGGGTTGGTCGTGGATTCCTACTAGGAAGTCTAGGTCGAGGGAAGTTGAAGCTTGCACATTGTCACCAGGAACCACAGCAGGAGTTGAATTAAATTCAATGCCTCCAACAGCACCACTGTCCGATGCACTTGAAGAGTTTCTTCCTAACAGATTCATTGGAACTTTGGCGGGGGCCCTAATGAAGACACACAAAGAAAACCGAGGGTAGTAAAGGGCAAATGTGAATAACAACATTTTTAAATCATGGGTTTTTATGTATAAAGTAACTTACTTGTTAAACTGTGAGCCTGCTCTGACAGTAGGTGGCAAACTTTCTTTCAGCAATGACTCTCCAAGAGCATCCAAATCTTCTAAAGCTTTTATTGCATTAGGTTTCTCATCAGCCTTCCCTTTTTGAACTAAAAAAAAAACTTAGTGATGGCATGAAACAAGAAGGCAGTTTTCATACACTGTGGACATTGAAGATTTAAATTCGTACCTGTTGATGAAGCTGGGACAGCATTTAAAGGCATCGGCTGGAGTACAGAGGATGTTGATGAAGGCAAAGTACTTGTCTGAGCTTCAGCAGTTGAGAGAGAGAAGAGATCTCCCAAAGTGCCTAAACCAGAGTGGTTGCTGACAGGAGGGATGACTAGAAATGAACAAAAAAAAAATATTCAATTGGTTAGAAACTATTTTTAAAAATCTTAAAGTACTTGATCAATATTTTTAAGTGCAAGGTCAATATATACCCAAGTCTGCAAGTTCATGAATCACTGGAGCTGTGGAATCATTTCCACCTGGAGTGCCAAGATCTAGCAATGATGCAGCTGCATTAGAGACACTAGAGACTTTTGATGTTGACGGCAAATCTGGTATCTTCATGCATGGCAATCCTTCAACAACCACAATCACATACTTGGCACACATCCGGGTCAATTCATCGAGAGTTTCCATGCCTTCCTCTGTAAAACAAGATGGAATTAACTAGATAAAAGCTAGAAACTTGAGTCAAACTATAAATTGCAGATTTGATTCGCACCATAGAGCGAGTCCTCAGGTTTAAAGTCTTTGCTTATCTGATGGCCTAAACGTTGACAACTTTGATGCAACTCTTTGATGAGTTCCAAGTCTTCTTTTGAACTAGAAGCAGGTCTGTAGCAATCTAACATCTCTGAGAGAAGCCTGGCGTTGTTGTGCGCTGCATCAAGATCAGCAGTGCGCCTGCTTATTATTTCTGTCCTGCGCTCATCCTAAAAAATAATTATAGAATAAAAATCAAACCAGGAATTTATAATATCTTAGAGATTTCTACAAACAAGACTAACAGGGAGAGAAAAACGCACCTCCTTCACCATCGTTTTAATAAGTCTGTTGGCAGCTTGAAGGTCTTCGGGATTCTTGCTTTGCAATAGTTTCTGAAGCAAACGTTGTTTCTTTTCATCTTCAAATGCAGAATTTCTATTAGAGGCTGAGCTCTGTGAACCTGAATTGTCAGTTGGGGGATCCTCTGTAACAACACCTTGCTTGCGAAGCATTTGATATGCTTCCTTTATTTTTGTTTCACGTGCATATTCTATAGTCCAAGAATACATAAGCTGGAGAACGCGTTCCCTAACTGGTTTTGGTGTCTGGCCACCAAGATACTTAGGAGAGACTAGTTTGATCATCTCATTCAAAAAACGGAACTTTCCGACTTCAGAGTGAAATGAAGAGCCACAACGTTTCATGCATGCCTCGAGAACCTATTTCAAATCAAAAGGTGAAAATTATTACTAAATAAAGACAACAGAACAAGAGCAAGCCAATAAATTTAATATTTACGTTCAAGCTCTGCAGGGCCTCCCATTCTTGTTGACTTTGTATTCGAGTAGTGATCAGCTTGGTAGCAATATGAGCACTATTTGGCTCCTTGTTGACCATGCCACAGAAAGCATCAATTGCTGCATTATCTGTGCCAGGATTTGAAGGACTTGTTGCCCGTTCTGCAATTAAATTAAAGACAAAACATCATCAACAGATCAACTCGACAACATCCATCTGAAATTATCAAAGATGAACAAGTACAAAGATGTCATTGAAGTAACATTGGTGTAAACTTCACAAAAGGGCTTTCAGAATAAAATTTTCTAGTTAGAGAGCTAAAGGCGTTTCTTGAATGTCACAAGACTTGTGACAACATAGAACAAAACTATACCAACTACGACATCATTCTAAAAAAGGATAGGTTTCGCTCTCATGGAACACTAAACCTTTAGAAAAGGTGAAAAAAAAACACAAAAAAACGTCAGAAGCAGAAGAGAGAGAAGTGACAGGTGAAACGAAAGATAACCTCTCAACTTGGGAGGTAACGTCAAAAATTCTGAGAACTAACGAAGTTTTACTGATGACCATAAATGTTTCAATTTCACCATCCAATTAAAAACCTTCAAAAATTCAACTTGAAAATGCGGAAATCCACAGAAATGGATGGATGTTTCGCATCCACCGACGGTGACGTCCATTCTTATTTCAATTTTTGTGTTTCAGATGAGACTAATGGCAGGTGAAAATTTATGGGATTTTAACGCAACAATCTACAACCGAATATCAATACTCACGAATTAAGGCTTCTAAACTTGTTGCGACAATGTCCATTTTGCGGCCATCTACCTGAACCTTGTTTTGTTGCTTGTTTGTTGATGTTGGTAGTCGGGTTATGACACCACTACTACCAACATCAACCCGAAAATCTCCACTGCTCAACTGGTCTAAAAAAAAAAAAAAAAACCTGTTCTTTAACCACATCAACCATGGAGATATTCTTCAACAAAGGGGTGTTGGAAGTCAACAGTATTTATCTGTCTCCACTACTGGCTGTTCGCTGTATTCAGAGTCTATGTTTGTGTGCCCCGAAAAATTCAGGCATGTCTTTGGAACAAAAAGAACATTATATTTATTTCCCTTACATGTATGCTCATTTTATTTAGATTCATTTAAACAATGTTCAATGGTGGCCAAGAAAAAATTTATTCAGAGAAAATTGTGTTACACAATTTGGGTACTTCCCCTAGAGTACGCACTAGGACATACAAAATAAGAAGAGAAGCAAATGGACATTACCTCCAATGCGAAATTCGGCCTATAAATTTTACTGAATGATTGAAGGCCTTGAGATTCCCAGCGTAGACATTGTGAACAAAGAATACCAATCAAATGACAGACACATTGATCAAACTAGGAATTAAAGGAAAAGCTCAAATGCAAGAGAACTTACATGATTGTGGGGAAAAACGGATACTAAAAGATAGATATACTAATAAATAATACAGCTAATTTTGTTGTGAATACATTATGTAGTGACGAAAATATACACAAATATATAAATATTTCTTTAGATGGGATACCTTATTCATTCAAAAGGTCAGGCAAAGTAGTATTAACTTACACAAGTAAACTATGTACAAAAGAGAATTCAAAACATATCAAAGGAGAGAAGAAAGAAGGAAATGAATTGAACAAAGAAATAAACCTGGAGGAAATCTAGAAGAAAAACAATGAAAACACAACAACTTAAAACAGCAAGTATTCAGTGGAGGACTTTGAAACCCTGACCAAATTAAGGCCAGTACAAATTATACTTCATTTGGGCACCTTAGTCAACTTATTGAGTAAGGGTCGACAGTGACTTCAATAGCACCTCTTGCATAAAAAAGGACAAATTTAAAAAAAAAAACCTTCCCATTTCTTTTAAAAGGCAGAGAAGTGTGACAGAGATTTTGCACTGTCTAAATCTTTAAAATTATTGAAATAGTCCATTGGATTTGAGTCTATAAAATCACAATCAAACTGTGAAAGTCAGGATTTTCTCTGCATGTTATGTACAAGTTGAAAAAAAGTCTTCATTATTTTTAGTGTACAAGACCACTCTGATTGAAAGAAATAAAACAGCAAGTTCTTTTCAGTCCAAACCAAGGGCCAAGCTTAGCAAAGAAACAACAATAACAAACCATTTTCCTTAAAAAGTGACAATTTTTTTTTTACACTCTTAAAATTTCAAGTGATTTGTTGTAGCAAATTGCAATCCAGTCTGGTTGAGTGGCGCCCCATTGGATCTGGTTTATCTCTCCCTCAGCTGCGGTGTAAGCAAGGATTGGATCTTCGATTGCCCTTGGCATTTGCTGGATATCCCAAATCAGTGCTTGGTGGTCATCACCTTCACAAGAAAGCACAAAACATTAAAAATGATAACAATGACAAATCAGTACCTTACACTCATAGACACACACACACAAAAGACACTCATCAACAATTGCCCTAGCACTATTTACCTGCAGTACAAATGTGACAAGAAGAGTGAGGGGCCCAAGCAATTCCATTGACACAAGCGCGGTGGTTATTGAGGCGGGCAACAGGAGTACACGGCACTCTTACATCTAGAATAATAACCTGAAAAAAAAAAGGAAACGGGAGATTAGAATTTAACAGTACACTTCGTTACAATAAATTTTTATATCTATACCAAATACACAAATAAACAGAAACTCCTACCTCACACGCATCCATTGCTACTGTTGCAAGATAATTGGGATCTTGCTTATTCCAAGCCAGGCGTAGTAACGGCGTGTGAGATGGGTCTTCATATATTATAGTCGAGTGCTCCAAATGTCTTAAATCAAACATTCTTACAGAGCCATCGGCACCTGATTCACAAATAAAGGAAAACATCAGTCAAGGATAAAAAAAAACAAAAAAAAAACTCCAATTTGCAACATTACATAGAATTTTTGTTAAAATTTTAAATGGTTTCTGGCTTACCAACTGAAGCAAACATGTCTCGTCCACCCCCAGCCCGGCTGAAGGCTATATCATAAACCTCCTTATCGTGAGCGATTAATTGCGTTTTAACATGACCGGTTACCACTTGAACTCGGCCCACCATCTACAAATCAAAGTAAAATATTTACTACTAATACCAGTTTCTTTAGAATTAGGGGTGAAGTGATTATCTTTTACCTGTCCAGTCTCCAGACCCCAAATAGTACAAGTTGTATCTATACTTGATGTTCCTATTAAATTTGGGTCAACTTCATTCCAATCAAAAGAAGTAAGTGGAGCGCAAAAATCTGAATTTTTATTCTGATGACATAAAATGAAATGTGTAATAAGTTCAGGATCATAATGCATTAAGATTAGAAAAAGAACAAAATTCTGACTTACATTATTTAGCACACACTCCAAGCGTGTCTCTGGCTCTCCTGCTCTCCAAACTCTTAAATAATCACCACTGGTGGCTAAGAGGTCAGTGAAGACACCTTTCTGCAAGGGTAACACAAAATATTTGGATGAAGCACATTAATTGAAACCATGAACATTTTCAACAATCATGAGTCTTACTTACACTGTCAGGAATCCACATAATTTTGGTGGTAGGATAGGGGTGGTCGAATGTGCTTTTGGCACTAATATCTGAGGTGTCTTCATCAAGAGATACAATCTGGACTTTGTTATTATATTCTTCCACAAAACTCCCAATAGCCAGTCTAAAAAATTAAAGGAACGGGATAATAACAAATACAAAACATACCAAGCATGGAGTGACTTATAAGAGAACTTATTGATTGAGAAATACCTGTAGCGTTTGTCAGGCCGCACAGACCAATTCATACTGTACAAAGGCCATGGGGCTTCATATTTGTATATTTCCTTCCGTTTTGGTGTAGTCCCATGGACAGCCATTTTTATTTCTGGAGTAGATATAAAATATGCAGGTAATGTTAAAGGACATATTTAAATTATCTTAAGGATTAAGGCAGGATTATGGTCGATTCAGGCAGTTCACAAGAAGGCCATTGGTAAATTTAGGAGGACTTGATGTCCACATACTAAATAAACAAGTTTAAGAAAACTCTACTCTGAAGTAACACCGGTAAAAAATGATTTATTGGAGACTTAGGCTCAATTAATTTGAACAACAACACGGCAAACTGAAGAACAAAATTTGGACCACTATACCAAGGGTGGGGAGGTTATAAACACAACTCAGGCTGGAACCTGACCAAAAATGCAACACGGGTAGGAAGCGGAACCACGAACTACTGATAAAAATTGGAACCTCAATAAAAGGCACGCAAACAAGAGAACTAAATAAAATACGGGAAAGGAACTGAAGAGGATTTTGGGGCCGCTAGACAGACGATGCAGTGACACTCACCCGCTTCAATGAAAGCCGTCACAGAAGTATGATTCCCTTACGCTGTCTGTTGCGGCAACATAATTCTTACATACTTAGTCGTGCTGTGGGTCGAAAACATCGACAAGAGCATCAATACACGTGAACAAGCCGACTAAACACAAACGACACTGATCACAAACAACAGTCAGACAGAAAAATTCTGACGCTTGTTTTTGTTGTTTATCTTATTTACAGAAGTTCTGTTTATTCACACTACAAAACAGACCAAGCCGTAGGCAACCCTAGATAGATTAATTAACTATTGTACGCGCGTAATTTCTGCTATTCACCCTTTAAAAATGGTCTGATGATAATTTTTTCATTGAATCTGCTAGTAGCTATGCTCGTGAATATTTTCCTGTGGATTTTTAATTCATCTTAGATTAAATGGAGTGCTTACACCCGATGACGTCGTAGTGGTGGTAGACATGCGCAACTTAAAGTGTGAAGCGCCATTCATTTTCGGAGGTGCATGGCGATAGTGGTTTTTGACGTTTTTGTTGGTTTATTTGTTTGAAACGTCAGAAAACACTCGTACACCTTCTGTTGAGCTTCGTCTACGACTTTTTGTAGCTGGCTTCGCCTGACAACTTGGATTCATCGGGCATTAAGGAGCCCGTGTCGGTGAGGTTGTCAGGGCCTGCCTAGGCCTGCCCCAACAACAGACGTGCCCGCGAGGTTAGGACCTCTTTTTCTTGGCAACAACCACCACAATGGTTGTACTCAGCACCTTTCCTCCCCCGGCTGAGGGAGTTCGTCACCAGCAAATCAACACTGAAGTCTTAATGAACGACCGGAGCCTTGGGAAAGGCACCCTGTACATCGCAGAGAGGTGAGGTGCCTATTTTGCCTGAACCCTCCCTTTCTCGAGAATGAAACAACTTTCCCTAACAGTGAAATTCGTGCTTCTTTGTCGAGATATTTTGGGAGGATTTATGTTTAGTTTCTCGCTGGTGACAGAGCACACTCTCTGAACTGTCATTAGATTGTGTTGTTTGGACTTTTGTCTATTATGTGGTTCTAATATTTCCAGCCGAGTGTCTTGGGTCAACTCAGCTAGTGGAGAAGGCTTCTCTTTAGAATACCCTCACATCTGCCTTCATGCCATTTCAAGAACACCAGTGGAATGTCTATACATGATGCTGGATACTAATGTGTCACCAAAGCTTGGTACGTATGAGAGCTGGGATAGACATCCAGCCATTATTCTGGAGATTAATTGCCTGTCTGATTCTTGTCAGGTGATGGAGAAGGAAACGATGACAGCAAAGATGACGATGAAAATGATGAAGATGAAGATGAAGAGGAGCAGGAAAGCACCGTTATGAAATTTTTGCCGGAAGACACAACTGCTCTAGATGCAATGTATCAAGCTATGAGCCAATGCCAGGCTTTAAACCCAGACCCTAATGACTCTGATTCAGATCCAGAAAATATATTTGTTGATGCTGATGGAGATGAAGGTATAGAGGGCGAAGGTCAGGAAGGCCATGAAGTTGGTGGAGATGATGATGATGGTTGGTATCCAGCATTTTATTAAGTAAATGGATATTTGTTGCTAAGTTCCTTTAATTAAGATTCTGGTTTCTCTTGTTTCCTTAGGATACGAGTATGAAGAAGCAAACAATGGCAATGGTCATACCGAGAATGATGCAATGGAAGTGGATGCAGCCCAGTTTGAAGATGCAGATAGTGATATTGATAACTAGTACATTTAATCTAATTTTGAAGGTAGAAGACACCTCAATTTTAACACTTAGGATTTCAACCATTTCCAATGTCATTCACCCTTATCATATTTTCATAGCATTCCTTTAGTTTCTTGTTGTCCCATTCATTTCTTGATCTTGTACCTGTAATGAACCACATGTCCTATGTTCTTTCCACAGATGTAGTTAATTTTCTACTCATCCTTTTGTAAGATGGGGCACTTACATTCGGAGTACTTTCTCTTTTACCTTTGTATTCTTTTCTTTTTGTTCCCCTTGCAAAAATTATGAAATAAGTAAACTTGTGTGACAAGTGTATTTAATTTATTAAAATAAACATATTGTAGAAAGTTAACCTTTTTATATTAATTGATTTTGTCTTGGAGCAGTTCTGTTTGCTTAAAAGTGTATTTTTGTTGTTGTTGATGAGTCTTGAGGGGGCTCAATCAATCAATCACCCAACCCCTCTCTTTGCAACATGTAGAGCTCTGCATTAGAAACCCTTTCTGTCATGTGCATGCGTTTAAACACGCCTAGAAAGTTTAGCCTGCGGCTCCCAAGGGCCAATTTCTGGTAAAGTAAGATCTAATGGGGTTACTTAAATCCGCCAGTACGGGGGCATAGGTCACAGCCTGAAAAGAGAATGGGGGACAGAATGCTACCATCGACCCAAACGGTGTTCACCTGAATGGTTCGACCTCCCCCGCCTTTTGCGGAAAAGACGGCTTAAGCTAATAGGGAGAGGGTGGGGGAGGATAACAAAATGGTGATTCATTGGTTTTTATTTTTCAAGTTATAGAACACATTATTATTCATAATCCAATCCATAATCCATGTTATTCATAATCCAATCCATAATCCATATTATTCATAATCCAATAAGTTAAGAATCATACAGTTCAAGAACTCTATCCATTAGTTCTGGGTTGCTTTCTTCACAGGGTAGCTGAGTGGATAGTTTCAGATTTGCCTCTTCAACTTCTGCACCTAGTAAATTCTGAGCCACTGAGTGCATTTCTTTTGATTTCACAGCTTTAGCCAAAACTTGAGGATTTTCTAACTGATCCAAAGCAGTCTGAAACAACTCAACACGACTTTCCATCTGTTTGGCCATTTCTAGTTCTTCTTCATAGCACTTTTTAAGGTACATAGCCTGTAAGGAATTCTCATTCGAATTAAAATAGTTTCTGCATTAAATCATCCATAACCAAGGGACAATTGTTCTCTCACCCGCCGATATCTGGATTTTAATTTGTCAATTTCACTTTTCTCATTGAGTTCATCTTCAGGTGTGTGTCTGTTTCTCTGCAGTTTATCCTCATTTAACAATATATGAGGAGGCAAGTCCATAAATCCATGCAGTTGCTCCTGAAAGAAACATTAAGTGAATCAATCTTGCCTGAAGCACCAACCAAATAGAAAACCACCACACCCACCTCCAATCTTTCAAATGGGGCTTTGGTCACTTCTGGCCATTTCTCCAACATATTATTTGCGACTCGTTCTATGGCTGACTTGCATTCGTCCGTCGTTTCTGATTCAAGTAGGCTAATCTTCACATTACGGACGGTTTTAGTATATTCTTCGAACATAGAGGCCTTAACTGTAGGGAAAAGCAGAGTGTTGAGTTAATAGTGAGTTTGATGTAAATTACATATAAAAGTACACAGTAGCAGGATTAGGTTATTTCGTACTATGCTCCATCAGGTCTTTCTGACAAAATCCGTATAACTGCGTTTCATACTCATCTTGACGTGAATATACCGGATCGCGCTTGGCCATAGCTGACAGATCAACAAACCTATCAAAACTGAACGAAATTGCCCCGCAGCCGGCAGTACGAATGTGTAGTATATACCAAGAACACTGTAACGACAACGACTATCTATTTTCAAAACAAACCCCTCCCTTCCCTGTCCCCTCGCCCTGCCCAGAACAGACGAACATCAAATACACGGCTCTCATAACCAACAACAGACGATATCAATATTAAAGCAAACTTTCATTATAGTTTTCTACTCCGTAAAACACTACATTATCGGTAACATTCAAAAACATTTTTCATGTCTTTATGTTCATCTTCGACAAAAAATGTTGGATACAGGGTATTGTGATGAGTGCCTCTCTTGGGCTCAGTTGGTAGTAATAGATCACCTTACCGTTACCGAAAAAGCAGACGACAGCTCAAGAGAGGCTCTTTGCCGTTACTGTAATGCATATGGTCCAATTTCCGTGATTGTTTTGTGCGATTGTTGTCAAAATTTGTAAAGGGTTCAATATAGCATCTCATTCCATTCATGAAATGCACATATCAATGAAAAAAGAACATTTTTGTTGATTTTGGGCGCCCCACCCGGCTTACTTCGGGCTGACAAACCTTAAAGTATTTCTATTCTTTTAAAATATTGAAGATTTCTGTATTGTTAGAAAATAAATGATTTAATTTGAGAACAAAATGTTTTTCTTGCCTTCTAGTAGCCGTTTTCTTCTTTTAAATCTCGGTTGTTTTATTTTTTTTAACGCTGCACCCTTTTCCCACGGTTGGTAGTGCCGGCGATGGCGTCACAGCAGGTGCAGGCGGTTTGCCGGCGGCGACAAGGCGGCGGCATCGACCCGGGATCACGCCACCACACTCCCACCGACCGCGGCTTCTGATTGGTCAGCGCCAGAGCGGAGTGAGAGGAGGTGCGTGCTCCAAATACGCTCTATTTTTATTGAAACACGTAGAAGAGCCCGAGAGAGCCGGAGTGTTGCTGACTCGCCTGCTGCTACCCGAACGTAATCTGCAGGTAAGAAAGGACCCTGTCGTCCGTTTGTCGAGCGTGTCACTCAGCTGATTGTCAATCTTAACCCTCGGGACGTTGGCGCTGCCTGGAAAGCCAGCCGTGGAGACGGCAAGGGATCCTGGAGTCTGACCCAACTGCCCTTTTCGCACGCTGTCCCGGCGACCTGGACCGTGGTGGCTCGCCCACTCCGTTCCGGGCCGCGGGGACGAGGCTCTCGTTGGAGGCGAGGGTGCTGTGCCTGGCCTCGCAGCCAGGTCGCGTGTCGTCGTGCCCCACATCTCCCACATCCTGTCATCCAGCTCGCCTCGCGATCCGTTCCGTTCGCCCATTTGACTCCTCGTGGCTCGCAGGGCTGCCTGGCTCGGCCAGACCCTGGCATTGGCCTGGCAGTGGCCGGCATGGCCATTTCGGCTGTTCTGATCTCGAAGCAGGGCGGTCTGGGTTCGGCCTGCCTCGGTTCTGTTGATCCTTGCCTGGGCTCAGCCTCCTTGGTACAGGGCCTGGCTGTCACTGACCTAGTCTCTCTGCATTCGAATGGAGTTTGTTTTGTCAGCTCTGTGGCACATTCAACTTTGGGTTGAAGCTCCTGTGTGTATAATGACTGCATTGACTGGTTTTAAATCTCTCATTCACTGCGTTGTTGCCGATAAAGTAGTTGTCGTTCATTCAACAGCTTGCGCGCTGCAATCAAGTACTCGTGGAATGTCAATCCGAAGTTACAGTTCCTTTCTAAACAAGATGTTAGGCTCGATTGTCTTATTTTCTTCAGAAATTTATTGGCACTGACGGTCTTGTTTTTTGTCCTGGCCTACCATCCCTACCATTTGCGAGCCTCATTCAAGCTTGAAGAGCTGTTGTGGCTTGAACGTTATTAGCTTGTCAGTTCTGTGAAATTTTTGGTTAAGTTCAGTGACAGCTTGATGAGATTCTGGTTAAACTCGGGTGTCCTAATTAATGGATGAAAACCAGAAGGTTTCGATTCATTCACATTCTGTTTTCCATTCTGCTTGACAGTCAGACTTTACTTGGAAACAAGCCACCCTTTTTGCCGTTTCTTGAGAATCTTTATCTTGGATGGTTGAATCTATGATTCAGGTACTCATCCGTGCTATCAGTAAGTAATATTAAGCGTGGCTCTTGTATCTATTGAGTGATCGTGCTATCGCAGTTTTAAAGATTAAAACTAAACCTATTATTAACTTGTAAAGCTGGAGTGCCTTTATGCCTCCATCCCTTTCTTTTGCTCCTTCTTTATTGGAGCATGAGCACTAGCCAGTGATTCTCTCAGGAAATCCGTACTGATAAATTAAAGATTCTCGCCAAGTTTTCATCTGTCTATCTGTTTGGCGTGTTGGGTGGGAACGTTTTTGGCTCCGTGCGCAGCCCGCTGGATCGGCACTCGAATTGACTCGTTTGGCCCGCACTGCTTTATAATTCGAGTTATCGAGGCGGAATGGTGAGATTACGCAACGCGGTCGCTCTTCGTGCATGTAGGGCCCCCAGCGGGCCCCGGTCCGGCCGGCCTGGCCGTGTCAAATGACCCTGGCTCTTTTTTTGTTTGTTTGCACTTTTGTTTTTTCTAGGAGAGCAGCGGGCTCTGATCTGTTTGCTTTCCCACTCGTTGAAATGCGGGAGTCGCGCGGTTCCATGATTTCCACACCTCAGTGTTGCAGCGCGAGGGGCGCTTTGAAAGGCGTAGACCGCATTTGCATGTTGCATCCCCGATTGGGCCACGCGATAGTCAATTTCCCTTCCGGTCGGAACGGTTCTCATCAGTGTGGTGGCACGCGTGATCCGTGCCTTGACGTGACGACGCCGCGGCTGTCGCGAGTCCGCGAGGCCAGCCCACTTCCGGGCCGCGTCGCCGCGTCGCCGCGTACATGTACACTGTGGCGGCCGGCGGACAGGAAGCTGGCGGTGCCGCCTGTCCTGGCCGACTGTGCGGACCGCGGCCAGGCTTGGCGGGGCGGGGTGGGCTGTCCGCGATCGAGGGGGTCTTGGCGTGCTGCGCCACGGCTGGCGGCCATGCTGGAGGGTGGCAGGTGGCTGGGCTCGGCGGGGCGAAGGGCGGTTCTCGCGGCGCGCATGGCGGTGGGCGTGCTGGTCCGGGCCGGCCGTCTCCGTGGTGTGACGCGGGTCCATGAGGTGGCGGCGTGTGCTCGGCGCGAGTGATCATTGCCGCCCCTCCCCCCTCCTTTGTGCTGCTCGCTGCGCGCTGGGCGCTGCGGGTCGGGGACGGGCCCCGGTCGCGCGTCTTGGATTGGACGGATTGGACGTTGATCCGCGCTGGTTTCCGTCCAAGGTCCGAAGGTAGCGTGGCGATGAGGCTCGCCGCGTCCTCCTCCTCCGCCGCTGCCACCGCCGCCGCCACCATCGCGGCAGCAGCGGCTACTGGCTCGGCGGCGCACTCGAGTCGGCGGTGATGCAGTGGCGGTGCTGGCGGTAGGGCAGTGAGGCGTCGGGTCCACTCTGTGTTGGTCCACCACAAGCGCGGCACGTTCGTCCACGTTTCCTCCATCGCCAAGGAGCTCGCGTAGCAGTCCCTCTGGACTTCCCTCGCCCCGCAGTGCCCGCAGTCTCGGCAGGCTTCGCGCTTCGCAGGTTGGGCCCGTTGTCCGCCGCTCTCCGCGCGCCCTCAAGGACGCGGTGCGGCCGTTTGTCTAGCTTGGCGCGGCCTGGACACTGGGACTCCAGCCCGTCGCGTGCGCCTTGTGTGCGGTGCCCCTCTAACGCGGTGTTGTGATTGTTTGTTTTTTGCAGACAGCATGGCGGACAGCATGTGGGTCGGCGGTGCCATCGGTGCCATCAAGGCCGTGGCTTTCTTCTGCGACATCGTGACGTACCCCTTTTACCTGATTCTGCAGCGGCCGTGGGAGAAGAAGCGCCTTTCGGAGCGCACCAAGGTGAGTGTGGGGTTGGGTTGCCACCTGTTGTGGGGTGAATGCGCTCTACCCCGCCTAGCGGCCTGCCGCCGGGCCGGGTGGACACTCTAGTTTCTTTCCATCGTTGTTGGCGAGTGAATTAATTGACTGGAGATTGGGGTTGGGGCCGTCTGGGCGGCATTGGGGCATTGTGACTTCCGCGGGGTGGGGAGGGGGGGGGGGTGCCCGTATGTATGGCTGGTGCAGCCACCCCCGCGCTCCCGCTCGCCGCGCGGGAGGGAGGCGGTGACCCCTCGGCCAAGGTGGACACAGTGTGGACTCTACGACGCGGGCCTGGTGGCCCCTGGTGGCTGGTGGCCTGGTGGCAGCCCTGCCGCTGCCTCGGGTCCACGCCGCGGGGCGGGGGGCGGGGGTTTGGGGCGACGCGACGCGAGATAGGCTGGCCGCGGCGCGGGGGTCATGGAGCCATGCCGCACCTCGGGGCTGGGGCCGGGTAGGCCGGGGGGGCTCTGCTGCCTCTGCCGAGCTCGCAGCTTTGGTCGCCACTGTCGTCTTATTGTGTTGCGTTTACGCATTTGGACCGGCGCCTGGATGCAGGGCGCGTGGCTGGCGGGGGGAGGGGGAGCGGGCGGTCCCACCGCACGGTGTACGTACGAAGTGCGGACGGCGAGGCATTGGCGTGCAATATAAATAAAATGACCTTTGGATGGCCGTGCGTCGGTCGCGCTTTTTTTTTTCGTTTCGCCTCCGCCAGCGGCGGCCGGCTGTTGTTGCTTCCTTCTGTGACGTGTTTAGGAACTCGGAGGGAACCTGTTTGCGCTCCCTCATTTGGTTCAATCGCTTTCATCTCTCTGCCGGTTTCGCGTCGGTTTCGCGTTCGTCTGCGGCCAAGTGGGTCTCCCCTCCCTTTCCCCTTTCCCCTCGCGCGTTTCCGGCCGGGGAAGAAATGCTCGCCGGCATCTCTCTGCATCTCGGCGAGCTTCGCGCTCGGCCGCCAAGCCCCGCGGAGCCGCGACCGCATTGCGGTGTAGCTGCAGGCGCTGCCGTGCTATTTACTTGGCCGATGGTGGAGCTTGACTGCTATCAAGCAGCGAAGCGGCCGAAGGCAAGGACTGGGGTGTCGCAAGCGGCCAGGGCTTGAAGCGCGCCAGGCGCGTCCAGGGGTCATGCGGAGAGGAGAGATGGCCACCGGGTGTCTCGAAGCACCTCGAAAGTCCCCTCGGCCGGTGACAGCTGGTCGGTTCCGCTTTTCAACAGGTGCCTGCACTGCACGCGAGCGTGTTATCTTTGGCAGTGCTCGAGGATTACGCGCGTCCGGGCCTCCCTCTGGGGCCCTCTTGACTCTCTGCACCCTACACTGCCCCGACGTGTGTGTGCCAAAGGTGGCGTCGTGTGCACGGCGACCACGGCGGCGTCCTGGAGGCACTTGGCGGTGCACTGCACTGCCTGGGCGGCGCGCGGCTGGCCTAAGGCTGGCCGGCCGAGCCGCTGCCGAGTTTGACCTTGCCGCGCGTCTTCTGCTGTCCCCGCCGCGGCCGCGACTCGCGACTGCCGTCTCGCGGCCCGCCGTAATTATATAGAGGCTAATAATCTGCTTTGGATCCTCCGACCGTCACAACAAACGGGAGGCTAATGTCGAGTTTTTTTTTGCGCGACTGTACAGTGTGCTCGCACACCTGCCTGCGTTGCCGCGGTGGCAGGCAGGACGAAAGCCCGGCGGACCCGCGCGGTGAAGGGGACTGAAGGGAGGGGCGGAAGTGGGTCACAAGATGCAATTTGGAAGGCTGGGCCGGCCGGGCCTGCAGGGCCTGGCTGGGCGCGGATGCAAGTCGCGGGGAGGGGATGCAAGGCCCCTTCCTGCTGGTGATAGGCAACCCGGCGGGTCCTGGCGGCCGAGTCCTTCCCGCTGGACACGTCCTCGTTGACGTAACGCCGTGTCCTTGACACCTGTCGACGAGCGGCAAGTGTAGTACAGTGTAGGTGCCTGGGCGGGTCCGGGCCTGGGCCCGAGTTTAGAGTTCAAGTGGCTTGTTTGTGGAATCGGGCGTGTTAGGTCGTTCGGTCGCCGATCCCGGCACGCGGAGCCATGAGGCGGAGCGCGCGGTAGGAATAGGAAGTGCGTGGCCTGCGTGGCGCGGCGCCGGCCCTCCGCGCCGGCAGCAGAGTCGTTTTTGTAGCTCTGTCTCTCTCGCACTTACGGGGCGTCCCGCGCAGGTGCGAGAGAGACTCTCGGAGTCGGTCCGCAGACCGGGCGACCGGTTTTGTCGTTGCCTCCGCGAGAGCTGTCCTGCCTGGCTTCGCTGTCCTGGCCGGCTTCGCTGGCTTGTCCGCGGGCACGCGGAGGCCCTCGTTCGGTGCGGCCGGCGCGGCGCGGTGCGAGAGCGGCCAAAGACCGTCTTATCGAGTCTCGACGGGCCAAGTACGGGAAAAGAACTTTGGTCCTCGCGATTAAAGTTGGATCACTGTTTGTCCCAGACTACGCGTTTGGCCACGTTCGTGTCGCCGTGCGCGCTATCTGGATTTTACCTGTCGTGTTGGGCCTCGGACGGGGAGAGATAAGCCCCCCGGGGAGACTACGCAGTTTAAGATTGGGCGGGAATTTTTAGTTTTGGCTCTGGCATGTTTGAAAGGGTTGTAGACTTAAATTTTTCCAATCTCATGAAAAGTTACAATTAAAAATCTGAATATTCGTTTAATTACAATTCCACTTTACCCCAGTCCATTTAAAATAAATGACTTTCTCCCTTGAATTGAGTTTTAATTTTGTCTTTTGCTTGTTTTCAGGCCGTCCCTGTCTCCGTGGAGGCCAAGAGCATTACGTACAGGAGTGTTCTTCCGCCCCGAAATATCCATCTCACTCTTCTTCGTGAGGAGGTGAACACGATGGATCTTCTGGTTCGCTACTTGGCCAAACGGTACAACCATCGTCGGTGTCTTGGTACCCGGCAAATTCTTGCCGAGGAAGATGAGAAGCAGAAGGATGGCAGAAACTTTAAGAAGGTGGGCATTCCTGCAATGCATGCTGCTGTAAATTTTTAGTTTGGTTTACATGTTAACAAACCTTTTTTTCTTTTTTTGTACAGTATGTTCTTGGAGATTACCACTGGAAGAGCTACACACAGGTTGATCAAGAATCTACTGGATTTGGAAACGGGTTGAGAGCTTTAGGCCAGGAGCCACGCAGCAGTATTGTGCTGTTTGCTGAAACTCGTGAAGAATGGATGATAGCTGCCCACGGTTGCTTCAAACAAAACATTCCAGGTAAGGTGTCTTGAACTTATGCTGGAATTACATACCTTGATGCATGTGTTTCTAATCATGAATGTCTGTTTCAGTTGTCACTATCTATTCAACTTTGGGAGATGAGGCCATTGCCCATGGAATCAATGAAACTGAAGTCACCATGCTGATTACTAGTCATGACTTGTTGCCCAAATTCAAGAAGATTCTTGCCATGTGTCCTAAGGTTCACACCATCATTTACATGCGTGACCAGTTAAAGCATACTGAAACTACCGGTTTTAAGGAAGGTGTCAGAATCATCAGTTTCAATGATGTTATTAAAATGGGAGATGAAAATGCGGGCAAGATTGTGGCTGTTCCACCTACTCAAGATGACACTGCTATAGTTATGTACACGAGTGGATCAACAGGTGTACCCAAAGGTGTTATTCTCACTCATCGTAACATGATGGCTACCCTGCGTGCCTTCTCAGACTGTGTAGACATCAATGAGGAAGATGTCTTCCTTGGTTTCCTTCCCTTGGCTCATGTGCTAGAACAGGCTGTTGAAAGTGCGTGTCTTCTATATGGTGTCCCTATTGGTAAGTAGGTTTAATTTTTGCTCTCTTGATGTCTATCCTTGTGGCCTTCTCTCATACTTCTGTTCTTTAACAGGTTATTCCACTCCTCTAACAATGATTGACTCCTCAAGCAAGATCAAGCATGGAACCAAAGGTGATGCATCTGTATTAAAACCCACTCTTATGACTTCAGTCCCTCTAATTTTGGATAGGATATACAAGGGAATCAATGATAAGGTTACCAAGAAGGGTGGTTTCTCAAAGGCACTCTTCGAGTTTGCTTGCCAATACAAGAACAAATGGACCCGAAGAGGATTCGATACTCCTCTCATTAACAGGTATGGGAAATGTGCTTTTGGTAGCCTCATGGCACCTTTGTTAAATTTTTAGCATTGCCCTAACATTATTTTATTTTTAGTCTCATCTTTAAGCCAATTCGCTCCATCCTTGGTGGTCGTATGCGCTATGTTCTGTGTGGTGGCGCTCCTCTGTCGCCTGAAACTCATGAGCTCATCAAGAACTGCCTGTGTGCAACTGTTCTCCAGGGATACGCACTGACGGAGACTACATCCTGTGCAACTGTGATGGACAGTAAGCCCAAATGAACATTGAATATGGTTTGTTACTTTTACTCTGCAGTTTCCTAACATTGGTTTTTTTTTTTTTTTTCCTCTAGTGAGTGACAGGACTCTGGGTAGGGTTGGAAATCCTACAACAGTGACCGACCTCAGGCTTGTCGATTGGGATGAAGGTAATTACAGAGTCACAGACAAGCCCTATCCTCGAGGTGAAATTATCATCGGTGGTGACAATATCTCCCCTGGCTATTATAAGATGCCTGACAAGACAAAGGAGGACTTCTTTGAGGAAGATGGCAAGAGGTGGTTTAGGACTGGTGATATTGGTGAATGCCATCCAGACGGAGTATTCAAGATTATTGGTAAGTTTTGTTCATCTGTTATTTACTTTTCTCTATCTTTCATTAGCACTTATTCATTTTATTCTATTCTTTCTTCACAGACCGCAAGAAGGATCTAGTCAAGCTTCAGCTTGGAGAATATGTTTCCCTAGGAAAGGTAGAATCTCAACTGAAGACATGCCCACTTGTGGAGAATATCTGCGTGTATGGAGACCCCACTAAGCATTACACAGTGGCCTTAGTTGTTCCCAACCATTCGCACCTTGCCCAATTAGGCACTACTCTTGGCCTTTCAAGTGCCAGTTTCGAAGAGCTATGCTCAAATCCTAATGTTGAGAAAGCAGTACTTCGTGAATTGGGAGAACATGCCAAGAAATGTAAGTTATTGGTTTGCTTCTGAACTCTTCTTTTCACATCATGAACATTTTTGTAACACGAGTCTTCAATCTCTTACAGCCAAATTGGAGAAGTTTGAGGTGCCTGCTGCTGTCAAGCTTTGCACTGAGGTTTGGTCGCCAGATATGGGTCTGGTAACAGCAGCCTTCAAGCTGAAGCGCAAAGATATTCAAGAGCGGTATCAGCATGAAATTAACCGCATGTATGCATCATGATAGCCAGTTAGCTTTTTAAGCTGGCTTGTTAGAACCCAGTGTGTGAGTGTGTGTTAGTGCCCTGTACATATTGTATGTATTTGTGTTGAGTGCAATGTGCTATTGAGCCAATTAGGTTTTAGTTTTTTGTACATTTTGATTGGTCATTGTAAGAAAGTAACTTTGATACTCATTGCTTAATACTATTGGAACAAATCTTATGTCATTTTGGTTGTACTTGTGCAGTGACATATCTTAAATGCACTCTTGTACCTAAATTATTTCAAATTCTTATTTGGTACAAACAAAATGGTTGTGTATGCTATTGTGAGCTCGTCTGAGCACTTGAGCAATTCCTTGTAAATGAAGATTGTATATACTGTACATGTTAATAAGCGTGGAGATGAGTGCCACGCTGGCGTGACATCACAGCAGGCCTGCCCTGTTACTTATTTATTATGAAATGAAGAGTCTTTTTATTTAGCAAAGTTAAAGACTGTTATTAAATGTTAAGGAATAGGCAGAGCATTAGTCTCTGCAAAAATCGTGATATATACACTAAATTTTGTTACATCAATTAAGCTTGTAAAAGAGCGCTTCATTTTTATTATTCATTTTGCTGAGTCTTCCCCATTTGGTCTTTGTAATTACAAAATAAATCACATTTCAAATTTTAATAGCTTTCTAATTTACCTCATAACTTGAATCAAACCAACTATCTGCTCAAAACATGACACTTTACACATGAACTTTGAAACTGCATAAAAATAGTCTCAGTATCTTAGTATTAATATAACTACTGCACTTTCCATTCCATATCAGCGATACATTTTGGATTTTTGTTGAACAAGTCTTGTTTGACGACCCATAACACTGAGAGATGAAGCTGGTCCTCTCTGCGGCTGCTGTTCAATTGGTGGCAGGACAACATTTGAGCGAACTGTTTGCACGTTGCCTCTTGAACCCGGAGTTCGTCTTGGCAGTGGTGATACCCTCAATATGCTTCCCAACTCTGCCTCAGGACTGGCCAGTGGCTTTCGGTTACTTTCCTTGCGCGCAGATTGGCGATGAGTCAACAATGGTTCTCTATGGTGAACTAAACTCACAGAGGATGCACTGGTCTCCCTGGTCGTCTTGATTTGCAAATTGTTCAATATTTCGGGCCTCATTTTAGTGTGTAACTTTTTCATCACTTGAACTTTTAACTGTTCCCTTAGTTCACTTAGGTCACTGTTCTGTCTCTGAAACTCCTCTTCGGTGCCCTCTCCGTGGCTCGCATACACTTCCTCTTGTCCTTCTTCTTCTGAGGTACGGGGCCCGATCGGTGGTTTGACTCCACAGACTCGGAGATGAGGGAAAGTTGCCCGCCACTGGGCAACCTCGAGTCGCAAATGAAGGGGCAAAGTTTTGGGCGATGCTTCTCCATACAGAACTTTTTCAATGTCTTGTAACTGTTGCCGTAAGCGTGATGTCGCTTCTCCTTCCACATCGTCAGACCAACTGGCAGAACTTGACCAGCTGCGCGATTCGACATCACACTCCCAGTCGACCGAACTGTTGCTCTCTGATAAAAGGGCTTCATTCTGAGCATTCGCAAACATTTCATTTTTGACAAAATGTCATGAACAACGTACAGATTATAGAAAACACAGTCTTGAAATGATGCAACAAATGTTGCTACAGAGGAAGAAATGACATGTAAGTCTTGCCATCAAATAAGGTCATTTTTCCTGAAGAAAGAACGTGTACATTTTACATATCTTCTGAAGTTGACAAACATTCAATCTTCCCTAGCAGAAGGTATGTTGTTTGGGTTTTCTAGCAGAAACCCTTGGAAACTTCATTTCTTTTCCTAGAGGGCTGTGTGGCCATGGCCAACATACTAGTTTTTCCTACTACCATTACTTTCGCTTTAATCGGACCTTTTTGATTCAAAAGTGGTAAATAAAGCAGGTGATTGCTAATTATTATTTATCAACTTTATTTAAAAGTTGAATTTTAGTGTGGATGAAATGCTGCGGCGAGAGATTCAGCGCGAGAGTTGCCGATCTTGAAAACCGGTTTCCCCCCTCCCTCTCCTCTTCTTTGAAAGTGGCGTGGCATAGCGTAGTGTTTTGGCGTCGGTGAAAAGTCGTCAGCTGTGTCTGGCCGAAGACCGTATTTTTTCCTGATATTCTCGAACATTTTCCATTCATGTAGGGAATCAGTGTGCTTCCAACAAAATCAATCGTAAGTTTTTGTATCTGCGCGATGAGTAGCGAATGGAAAGGTTCTTCTTTCCTTACTTGGTCGTGATAGAAATGAGCTGCATATATAACCTGAAGGTTCTCTTCAAATATATTTTCTGTGGCCTGATCATGCTAGTCAAACGTCGATATGAAACGCTATATGCCCTTTCTTTTTTTTTGTATTTATATTTATTTCAATTTATTTCTGCACTTTATTTGTGTTTTGTGCTAAGGTCCTCATATTGTGTTTCGCGGTTTCAGAGCCTCCACTCCATAAAACTACCTATCTTACTGGCCTCATTCAATTCTTATTTTGTTTTGTTTCTTTCAATTAAAAACTCTTTAAGTTTTTGTCGAAATTCTTCTTTGTTCTATTAGCTTAAGGCCTATGTCGCAATACAAAACATCCCTACTCATTAGCATGTCTATCCTACCTTATTCTCAAACCCTGTGTTTTTCTTCCTGGAGCTACAATTATAGTAGCACTGCAGTGATAATCTTCTCTTGGCCTGAGCTCAAGTCACCCTGATACTGAGTTAGGAACCCTTATGAATTCACAGACAATGCAGTCGGGGGGTCCACCCGCCAGTACGGCACCATCTGCGTCGACCAATGCCCCACCCCCAACCCAGTCAGTGGGAGGCATCTCTAAACCAAGTAAAGCAACAATTTTATTTGAAATGTATATTTTATTTCCAACATTTTTTCTTGATTTAAAGTGTCTAACTGAATATTTGTCTCAGGTGGGAATGTCATCAGACCTGCTCAGCAAACTTCATATCATGTGCCACGAGGTGAGATAGTTTTGTTTGGCCCATCTGTACCATCAAAACAGCAAGAAGTGGTTATCATTTATTTATAAATTCATTGTAATTTTCAGGAGCTGCGGCTGTTGCTAACATTGCCATGCCTAGACCAGCATCACTGGCTACAGTGCGCTCTGGCCCTGCAGGAAGGTGAGTCTCTGCTGATGGCTTATTGGTAACAACCCTAGAAAGCCAAACGCGTTCTGATATTAATATTTATCTTATTTACAGCCTGGTGAGCATCAGGGGATCCAGCAGAGCTCCAAGCCCAGCACCACAACCACCACAGCATCAAATTCGCACTCGGCCTGCCAGTTCACCAGCCCCTTCTGGTTTGTTAGAATTTCTTTATTACCCAGTCAGAAATTATGGAGCAAAAACTAAAGTGTCGTCATTTTTCAGGTTCAAGACCAATTACACCTCAAAGATCTGATACTCCACGCCCCCCTTTGGAGAAATCATTTGGAAAGAGTCCAGTTCCTCTGCAGCAGGGACGTGTGACACCACTTGTTGGGTAAATTTTGCAGCAAACTCCCTTCCATATTTATTTTTAAATTCAAGGACTTAGTTTTTGACTCTGTTTTGCAGTCAAAGTCGTCTAGCAGCCCCTCCTGCCCTATCATCTCAACCTGGAGCACCAGTTCAGATAGTCACTCAGACGGTCGGTCAAGCTGTAACACTTTCAACCAGTCAGCCAGCTGCTCAGCCCACCATGCAAGTCATTACTCAAACTCAGCCTTCACTCCAGCCCACCCTTTCAAGTGTAACCTTGGCTGCTGGGGGTAAACCACGACCAATAACCCAGGTAAAAGAGTGAAACAGTCATACTGGTTGTTTGGTTTTTTAAGATTCAAATCCAGCCAATAAATTATAAATTTTTTGTTCTGTTTTTCAATCTGGGTGCTCAGGCTGGTACTGTTACAACACTTCCAACAAACCCACCTGCTGTTGTTTTGGCAACTCCCGCTCGACTTGCATCTCCTGGTTTGATCGGGGTGCAAACTGGCACAACTCGTCTTGCAGTTGCTACAGCTTTACCCTCTTCAGGTGCAAGGATTGTCAGCCCATCCGCTCGGGTGCCTCAGGGACGAACAGTCACTTATACAAGTACGTTTTCTCTTTTCTTTGGAGTGTAACAATGTAGTAGTAGTTTTTCTTTCTTTTTTTTCCCCTCTTAATTTGTTAACCTGGCTTTTATTGTCACTCCAAAGAAGTGGAGACATGTAAATAAATGGTAGTAGCTTTGATTCAAAGATTTACAATAAATCAAATCCAGTTAGCAATCTTGGTAGAACCTGTGAAGGATTGATAGATTGATATCTTTCATACCTCACTTTAGCTGACAGTCTTCAACTGTGGTATGAAAACAAGAAATGACATGGTTCATACACGGTACTTGCATAATTGACTAACTCGGAGCTTCTTATGTTTGCCTTATTGCTTTTGCCCAGTAGCTCTTTAGACTCTTTTCTAATTTATTTGGATGATTGACAGGCTCTCATCAAGTTGCCATGCAGGCTGGCAGAATGCCGCCCACCCCAGTCCGTCTAGGTACCGCTGGTGCTGGCCGTGGTGTAGTCTCTCTGCATCCAGTGCTCGGGGTGGCCCCACTCAAGCCGACCCCAACTCCTGGTTCAGCGTCAACAACAGTCACTGCAGTTTCCACTCAGTCGGTGGGGCAGGTCTCCGCCCAAGGCCCTGCCACAACCTCCACAATCTCATCTGTTCAGCCGCCACAGCCTTCGGCTCTGCCTTCACTCCAGCCTGCCACGTTGCGGGCCTTGCCTGGCCAATCTAAAGTGATGGCCTCTGCGGTGGTCACTGTGGCTGCAGTGGCAGGTGGTCCTCTTCGCTCTGTTGTAACAGCAGTTCCACCCGGAGTTGCACCGACAACAACTTTGGCTCCTGTGCCATCTATTTTAACCTCTCCGGCCTCAACACCTGCTCCAAAACCAGGTAACTTAATCTTTTCAGTTGCCACCTCTAATTTCATGTTCAATCTATTAGCTATAATTGCCCCTTCTTTTTTAATCCAGTTGCGTCTCGTCCAGTTCCTGTTGCTGGTCAGCAGGTGCGTCCTGTACAAGGCCAACCAAGTGTTTACATTCAAACTGCACACCGATCATCGCCAGGTTAGTTCTTTTCCTTTACCTAAATTAACAGTGTTGTCCCTCTTTGTCTTTCTTATTTCACCTCCCCTGTTTTTTTGTTTTGTTTTTTTGTGATAGGTCCAGCTGGAGAGCGTAGTGGCACCTTCCCAATCCAGCCAGCAACCTACTTCTACGAAGCTCCTGCTGGCTCGTACCAAGTGGCCAACGTTGCTCAACGCTACGCTGGCGGACCTCCATTCATAGTGCAGGCCACTGCTGCTCGGCCCGTTGGAACCGCTCCACACGGTAACTGGAATTTATTTTCGTTTTGAAGCAAGGTTCCATTCCATGAGGAGAATGAAGCGTAACTGTCTTGTCGTTGTCCACCCTGCAGCCATTGCCTCTGCGCCTGGCGCTGCGGCCGCGGCTTCCAGCACGACCAGTGTGCCGGTGGCCGTGGCGACCAGTGTGGTGACCAGCGCTGGCTCGGGCAGCGCGGCGGGCACCGTGGCCAGCATCGGCAGCAACGTGCTGAGCAGTGTGGTGAGCAACGTGGTGAGCACCGGGCAGCCGGGGCAGCCGCCGCGCTTCAACTCCATCATGGTGCTGGACCCGTCCCGCACGGCCCTGCCCATCCACGCCGTCGTCCCCGCCGAAGGTAAAGGCGCTATTGTCGCTGTCTGTGTTTCTCTCCTCTCTCCCTCGAGTGTTACGCAAGTGTGGACTTCATGTATACTCCTGCCTTTTTGCAGGTGGTGTAACAGGAACAACCTACATAGCGGCTGATGGTAGCCTCCTCCCTGTACAAGCGTTGCCAGTTTCCGCTACAGCTGCCCAAAGTGGCTCGACCCCAAGTACACCTTCGGTTTCGCAAGCCAGCAGTCAGTCTGACTCCACGCAGACTTCCCAGCCTACACAGATAGTCACGCAAGTGGTGTCGCAGCCTGTGACATCCTCGACGGCGGGCCATCTTCCGATGCAGATCCAGATGGTGACCACTCCGGTTCACATCCAGATGCATCCCCAAGGCCAGGCTCCCATCTCCCAACCCCAAATCATTCATTCCAGCTCTCAAAGTGCCACCGCCCACTCTTCACACGCCACCACACTGGCCCAAACGCAGCCGGCGTCGTCCGTGCCAGTGCCATTATCTCTGGCCATGTCTCAGGTGCTTTCGCACTCTCAGCCGCACACCACTGTCCACCTCACCCACTCCTCACTTCACCCAAGCTCGCAGTCCCAGACTCCAGGGCCCACACCCACCACCCCCAACAAGCCCAACGCCTCACCCCGCCCCAGCATTCTCAGGAAAAGAGATAATGAAGGGTGAGTCGAGTTTGTGACCTGTTCTCCAGCATTTGGATTGTTTCCGTGCCTGACTGGCATCATCCTGTAACATTTTTAACATTGCAGCTCTCCAATGAAGGCTCAGAAAAATCTGACACCTCTGCTTCAGAGCATGAGCTCTATTCCTCCCTCGGGCACAGCAAGCAGTCTTCCTCCCGCTGCCAACCCGCCGTCTCCACCGTCTCCCCCCAAGCGGCCCGACTCTGGCGGACCGCAGTCCAGCGGGTCGACCACGATCTCGGCAACGTCGTCGCCAGGCCAGGAATCCCCTCCTGCGGGAACCAACCAGCCGCCCCCGACGGCTGCGAGCATTACCGCGGGCCTGCAGGCCGCTGGACTGCACGGCACTGAAATGAGTCCGCGCAAGAAGCCGCGCAAGCAGCAGCTGTAAGTACATCATGAATTTAAAAAAAAAAAAACAACTGAACAACATTATACTGCTTTTTTGAATGTTGGAGAACTAATTTTGACGCTTTCTTTCAGAACGGGCAATGAGCTTCAAGAGCACAAAATGAGTGATGAAGATATGGAATTTCTTGCTGAAGATAATGGTAAACCAAATTCTCATCATTTCTAACTCTTCTCATCAATCTGTTGTCTTATAATTTTTAATGTATTTCAGGTGACGATTTTCCTCTGAATCAACAAGCTCAAGAGCCACAGCAACTTCATCAACAAGTATTACAGCAGCAACAGCAGCTGCAGCAGCAACAGCAACTGCAACAGGCTCTGCCTCCACCTCCGCCTGCCCCTAGAGAATTCACTCTGAAGAGGCCCAACATCTCCCTACTGAGTACCTACCGTTATTCTTGGAAGTCCCGAAATAATCACTTCTTAAGGCACAGTGATGTGAGACCAAAAGATGAAAGGAGGCCCTCTGTAGGTGATTTAGCTTCCCAGCGTCATATTTATCAGAGGCTGAATGGGTGGAAGGTTCACCATTTAACGGCTCAAATGGAAGACTTGGTAAGTGTCTGGATGCTAAGCATCTCAGTTCCTCTCTTAAAATAACTAAGTCTCTTTTATTAATGAGCTTTTCTTTTGTTTTATAGGCCGATGTTGAATCAGAAGTATGCCAGCAGTTAGAGTCTATGTTAGGAGTGCTGCAAAAGCAGGGAAAGACAGAGCAAGATGAAGACAAGGATGTGAACCGTGTGAATGAACTTATCAAGGTACTTGAAACCCACTTATTTGTTGATATCTTTGTGTGCAGTTGTGTTTTATTTATTTTTTGATCCTTACTCTTTTGCTATTGTTTACAGGGCAATATGCAGCGAAGCCGTGTCATTGCTGACCAGTTGACTGAAGCCAAGGCCACCGTCATGAAAATCTTCGATCATAAGCCTCATGTAAGTGATATCATTCACAGAAGCTCCGGAAAACGAGAAAGAATATTCAAAAAAAGAGAAAAATCATAGTTTATTTAAATAGTACAATCGCAAATTGTATAATTTTCCTGTAAATATCAATCTAATTTTTTCCTAAGTACAGAATTATTAAGGTGTGAATCACTAGATTAGTTGTCATAACAAAATAAAAATATGTAGAAATTAAAAGATTTTTTCTTAGAAAAAAAACAAAACAAAAACAAACAAAAAGACCCAACATAAAATAGTAACAAAAAACACAAGTAGAAAGAAGGTTAACAAAAAAAAATGGCCACAAGAGTATCAAAATCAACATTGTAAAAAAGTGAGCCCACTTGGAAGAGGGTATCCACCAGACGCTTTGAGCTCGGAGCAGGACGAGGGCGAGTGAGACAGTGATTCCTCACTAATGGACTGCAACGCCAGAGTAGCCGCCTGCATCACCACTTCAGCTTCGCGAATCTCGAACCACCCCTGCGGAGATGTTGGGACCAGTTTGTCACCGAGTCGTCCGAGGGCATGTGCACACACTGGACGAGTTGGCGTTGACGCCCACCTTTAGCTGGTGGGGGCTGGTGCTGCTTGGCTCTGGCCGCCCTGCTGTTCCCGGCCTTACTTCCGGCCTGCCTACTTCCGCTTCCGCGCGTTCCGCGTCTCGAGGTGCATTCTGCCCTGCCGACACACACCAATTACTCCAATAAGTTGCCGAAGCTGCGGCACGGCGTTGGCGCCAGCGCCACGGACCTGCGCCAGGGCCGGGGCTGGGGCCGGGCGTGGGCGGGTTGGTCCGCAGCAGGCTGGTGAGCTGGGCCTGGTGCAGGGCCTCGATGTGCGCGGTGGAGCGCGCCAGCACGGCCCGCATGTCCCTCTGCAGGTCGCGCTGCACCTCGGCGCGCAGCTGGAGCCGCAGCTGGTCGCGCTCGCGGCACATGGCCACGGCGTGCTGGTCCATGAGCTTGCCGACGGCCTGGGTGTGCGTGGCGCGCAGCGCCTGCACGTGGCGGTGGTGCTGGTCGCGCACGGCGTGCAGGTGCTGCTGGTGCGCGAGGCTCTGCGCCTGCAGTTCGACACGCGCCAGTCACAGCCCAATCGAATCGGCCAAACACATTCGAGTGCCTACCTGCAGGCGCGCGGCGCAGCTCCTGGACAGCACGCGGTGCGCGTTGACCAGCACGGCGCGGTGCGGGCCGCGCAGCAGCAGCGCGTCCAGGTCGCGGGGCGTGTTGGGCGGCGGCGCGGGCAGCAGCCTGGCCTCGGGGCTCTTGTTGTGGGCGACGCGGCGACGCTCGATGAGCAGCTGTCTCGCCAGCAGCGGCACCGCGCGCAGCAGCAGCACGCACTCGGCGCTGGCGGCGCGGCACCCGCGGCTGCAGGCACCCAAGTGCCGCACCGCGCGCCGCACCTTCGCGTCCACCTGCAGCACGGCGGCGTTGGCAACGCGAAACGCACCGCGACGGTGGAAGGAGGTTTCCCCTGTCACCTCAGCCAGGTCGCGCTCGTCGGGCAGGCCTTCGACGAGCTTGGACGGCGTGTGGTCCAGCTGCTCCTCCAACCTGCGGCAACAAGACCACCGCGTTCCAGGCTGCCGCAGGGCAGTTCGAGCAGCCGGCCGCTCGCTTACCACCCCTTCGCCTCCACGCCGGCCACCCCGCAGCTCTCGCCGCAGCAGTAGGTCTGGTCACCGCCGCCGCCAGGGCACGTCACCGAGTGCTGTTCGTCGCCCTCCTCGCCCTCGTCGTCGTCCACCAGCTTCGCCTGCCGCTTCGAGTCCGCCGTGGACTGGTTGTCCTCGGTGGCGTCGTTGCTCTGTGGAGCGGGCGCGCTCAGGCCGGGTCTGTCCGCGCCCCTTGCCTCGCCCAGGCCTCGCCTTCCCTTCTGAGGCTGTACCTTCTCGATGCCGGAGTCGGCCGACTGCTCGTCGGAGCCCTGCCCTGGTTCGTCGTGCTGCCCGGGGAGCTGGCCGGAGAGCTGCCCCGTGAGCTTGGCGTGCACGGACCGCAGCGCGGCCAGGTCGCCGGCGGTCACGGCGCTGCTGTCGATGAGGTCCTGGAGCCGCCGCTGGAGGAAGATGTTGTGTGTGCGCGCGCGCTCGGGCTCCTCCTGGTGCACGCCGTGGCTGTGGTTAGAAGTCTCTTCGACAAAGCTACTGAACAGTGCCGTTGGGAAGGGTACCGCGACCGCCGCCAGCTGCGCTGTCAACTGGGAGATTCGCTGGCGGGCGCGAACCAGCTGCTGCTGTCTCCGCGCGCCGTCGCGCGCCGCCCTGGCGCAGAGGGCCTTGATGCTGGCCAGGTGCACGTGCAGGGGCTGCTCCGTGGTGCACGCCGTGGCCGCGGTGACGGGCCGGACGACGTCCTCCAGCGACGGCCAGATGTGGCGGCGGAGGCGGTCGCGCAGGCGCCGCCAGTCGGGCGGCCTCCACGTCGACGGCCCTCCCGGCCGCCACTTCCGCGGCCGCGAGGCCCTGCACCCGCGAGCAGGCGGTGGAGGCCGCGGCGCTGGCCGGGCAGGCCGCCTCGACAGGCGCTTCGGCGACCTGGGGCAGAGGAAGTTAGGGTGCGGCTGTGCGTGGGTGGGGTGGCTAGACCGCGGCCAGCCGCTAGCCGCTTACGCATGGTGTCGGTGGGGCCGGTGACTTGAAGCACGTCGCAGTGACCAGCTGAGCAGCGCCACCGCGTGCCTGTCCAGCACGTCTTGCTTCACGATGCGCTGGGGTAAGAAAGCCTGAGTGATTGTCTGTTCAACATGTTCAACGCAAAGGCTTTTGACTTTGCCGCCGCACCTGTTCGGGCTGGCCCCGGCTGGTCTGGGACTCCCCGTCCTTGACGTCCTTCTGGAGCGTGGTGACGCTGTCCTCGAGGATGTCCCCCGGCCACACCTGCGTCTCCTGCTCCGTCTGGCGGGGCCGGTGGCGCGGCCGGTTGTCGAGGTGGCCGTCGTGGAGGCTGGTCGGACTCACAGGACGCCTTGACCGTTGCGCGAGGTGCAGCTGCAGTGTTTGCACCAGCTTGGCGCGCACTGCCGTGAGCACGCTCTCCAGGTCGTCCATGCCGGGGCCGCTCATCGGCGCCACGGGGCGTTCCGGAGGGCGTTCCAGCGGGCGTTCCAGAAGGCGTTCCAGCGGGCGTTCCAGAAGGCGTTCCGGCGGGAGTTCCAGCGGGCGCACAGGTTCCGGCGGACGTGCCGCTTGGAGTTCCGGCGGCCGTTCCGGCGGGCGGTCCGGGCTGGGCCGTAGCAGCTCGTCCAAGCGGTCCACGCTCACGTCCAGCAGGTTCTCCGTGGGCACGAAGATGGGCTGCTGCTGCTGGGGCGTGAGCGCGTCTCCGGCGCCGCCGCCCCTCTCTCCTGGCGGACTTGTCTGCCTTGGCGGGCTTGGCGGGGATGCCGCGGCCTCGTCGTCGGGTGGCTCCGTGTTGGTGGCGCGGTGGCGGGGCCGGGTGGCCGCGCTGGCCGTGCTGGTGGAGGCGTTGCGGCGCGGCGGCCGGCACTGGACGGCGCGACACTGTTTGCGGGACGCCTGCCCGCCGGCCTGCACGCCCTGCTCGGCCGTCTCCGCCTTCTCACTGGCCTGCACGCCCCGCTCCACTGTCCTCGTCTCCCCGCCGGCCTGCACGCCCTGGTCGGCCGTGTCCCTGGCCTGCCGCTGCTGGTACTCCTGCTGGTACTCCTGGTGGTGCTGCTGGAGGTGCTTGTAGCGAGCCACGAGCCTGGCGAAAGCTGCGCGCGCCCGGTCCTGCGCACCCCACCGAGACTGTGAACGCCTGCGAATCGAGGACAGGCCGGCCCGCCGACGCGCGCGTGCGGAGCGTTGCCTACGCTCGAGTCCACAGGGGCTAGAGCCTTGGAAGCCTGGGCAGCCTTGGCTAGCCTTCCAGCTTGCGGTGTACCTGCGTGTCGCGCAGGTCCTTCTCGGCGCGGTCCGCGCGTTGCCGCCAACGCTGGGCCTCCTGCTCGCCGTCGGCCACCTGGGTGCGCAGCCTGTCCACCACGGCGCCCTGGCGCTGTGCCTGGCAGGCAGAGGCATGGGCCTTGAGAACGGCGAGCCTCTAAACGTTCGCGACGGGCAATCGGCGGCAATCGGCCACCCCTGCTGCAGACAGCTCAGTGCTCGGAATGAGCTGCCTCACCGCCAGCTCCAAGTCCTGCCTCTCTCGCTGCCACTTCGCCTCCTGCTCCTGCAGCTGCCGCGCCGTCCTGGATTTCTCCTCGAGACATCGGTTCTTCTCGGCCTGCACGGAGAGAGGGGCTCAAACAGGCTCCTTAGGTGACAGCGTGCTACAGTGTGCGCGTACCTCGAGGCGCGCGAAGCGTTGCTGCCATTCTGACGATTCCAAGGACTTGGCGCGGACTTCGCCCACCATCACCTAGGACCAGAGCCGCCTTAGTTTCTGTCATGTAGTCGTCGGGGAGGTGGCCGAAGTGGCTGTGGCGGAAAGTCCTTGCCTGTGAGACGTCGTGCGCCGCCGCCAGCTCTCCAAGGAGCTCGCGACACTTGCCCTCCCAGAACAGCGCCGACAGCGCCTCACCTGCCTGGGGGGTGAGATCATGGGTTCAAGTACCGGCGGTTGCGTCTGTTTTTTTTTTGGTGTGTGTTTTTTTTTTTGGGGGGGGGGGAGAGAGGGGTGCTTTCTCGTGGTAGTTTGAGTTGGAATGGTACCTGAATGCCCATGGTGTCTGCATGACCTCTGAGCCCCCGCGCGCCACCCCCCGGGTCCTCCGGCCGCGGGACGCAGTTAAGCAGAGCCTGGAAAAGGGTACGGTGTCATGGTCGTCATGGTGCCGACAGTGGCGACATCCCGGCGCCGAGGAAACGCTGGGAAAGGCAGGGAATGAAAAAAAAAATTAGGGGCACCATGGTAGTTGCTCCCGCGCCATCGAAGGTGTTGCCATGGCACCGGCGCCACGTGAATTATTGAGAGTGCCACTTTGTTTCAAATGGAAATGTAAGTCATGTTTTTCTGGGATAACCAGGGTCATCATAAAAGAAGGGACACACTCCTCTCTGTTATATTCTGGTATATTTATCATCTAGGTAACAATCGCCTGCTCTTCAAGAATCTGTACACAATAGATACATATTTACAGTGAAGTTTGATGAGAAATGATAATAATGATGAATAAAAGTCATATATTATAGAAAACTATGAGTTAATCTTATTAACATTATCATAAACTTAAATGAATCCTTCTCAATATTGCTGAGTATAAAGGGGACTAAAAGCACCAACCTCAAAGAAAGAAAACGTCAACTCAATAAAGTAAAACTTTGGTTCAAAATTTTAACACAGGACAAACAAATTGGCATGCAGATGATTCCAAACAACATGATTGGTAAAGAAGTATTAAACAAATTAATTAGAAAAGGTATACAATGGATTACAAAAGATATACAAAACATTAAATATTGCTTATGAGATTACAATATGTACAGATTAGATTACTTAAATTAGACAAAGGAAAAAGACTTCCGAGGCGTTGCTAGCTTACGATCATAATATTAGAACACCCCCCATTATAAAGACAACATCCGAGCAATTTTGACTTCTTTTTTTCACATTCTTATGTAACAAAAACAGAAATTATTGAACATAAGCCTGAGAAAGACAAAACTGAATAAAAATGCAACATACCCTCCTAAAGGACTGGCCCTTTAGGAGGGTATATTGTATTTTAATTAACTAGAGAGCACACTGCACATGACTTATAAAGGCTCTGACCCACAAAGGGAAGTTAGAACCTGAAGCAGGTTTAATTGTAACCGGAAGGTGAAAACAGACTAGCACCCACAATACTAGGAATTCCTAAGATAAATTAACAAGTTTTCAATCAGACAAAAATAATACAAAGAAGAAACGGGTAACATTTTAAAAAATTATCGAAACAAATCATGAACCCTTCAAACTTATTATTTATGCAGAAAATTTATACAGTTACAATTTTATCCAGAGCATAATTCAGCCACGATAAATGAGACATTATCAGATATAATCAATGGCAATCGTTGCAGACTACAAACACCAAACCAGTCACCAACCAAATCAAGAAAAACAAAAAAAACAAAACAGGAAAAAGACATAAAAGTACTGGTCCACAAGAAGATAAAATTAAATCGAGACAGTGCAAAAACAGAGCGGAACAACCACAAGTTCAAATTGGCTTCTATAAGGAATGACTAAACAATTTGAAAATTAGAAGACACAAAAACTGCTCCACATGCGCTTAAAACAGTGTGGGAGAATGGCAGTGTGACAACAGAGTGATCATTGGTTCAAAAAAGTTAAAAATAGTTTATGGAACATGCCATTTACATTCTTACTATAAAACTTAAAAACAGAAGTAGATGACCATGGTTTAAATACTTCCAAACAATGACAATATTGTAATTTATCTTATTGGCAACAAGTTAAGGTAATAAAGTTTCCAAGAAGTTATTTTTAAAATAAGTCCAAGTCAACTACATATGACAATTTGACAAAGTTGACATTAATGCTGAGCTGGATAAAATGCACCTTCCGTTAAGTGCAGTCTCAAGTTCCCTAGTTTGGACCCTATCAAGTGAATGAACATAGGAAGGGAAACAGCACATTTCATTAGGCTTTGGTACATAAGCCTGTAAGGACTCTCAGTTAACATGAAACCAAAATTGATAATAAGCCACCTTTACAACCACAAAACACAGCCTCAACAAAGTTTATAACAGGGTCAAGAAAGAAAGATATTAAGTTAAGAAAAATAGAACTAAGAAGACCCACAAACATCCTTTGCATTTTGACAGTTGAATGAAACAAAACAAGGAACCACAGGACAAATGATAAACATAGAGTTGCTCAAATCGGTTACCCAAAGACACTCTAAGCAACTATAACACAACTTTGATTGAAACGATACAATTTTAAAAAAAGAACAACCAAAAAATATGCACATAGTTTATCACTCAACTGTCAAATTGCAGCTAAAAAAAGATCTAGGTCAATATCACTGGCCAGATCAGGACTAGAGATTTCACAGGCAATGGGCCAGAGAGGACTAGACTTCAGTACTGCGACTGTATGGGCTGTTTTCATCTCGAAAAACCTTCCGTTCTCTCTTCGCAAATAAACCACTCAAGAGAGACGGTTGCCCAGGGTGGGCAGGGTGCCCAGCATGGCCCATGTGCCCTGCGTGGTTTGGGTGCAACACATGATTGTGCGGCTGCTGCATTTGGTGTGGATGACTTTGGATATGACACACTGCTTTGCCAACACCTTTGGCAATGGCACCAGGAGATGGTTGCACATTCTGAGGAGAGGAGTCCCTGCTCACTGTGCTAGCTGATGTTGACTGGAAAGAGATGGACATTCCACTATCCAGGGACCCAACACTGCCCCTGCGCTGAGGTTTCTCGGTAGCTATAACTGTAGACAAAAAATAAAATAAAATAAAATGTGCTACACTACAACACTGTTTATTGGCGCAAATACACCAACTTCTTTCATAGTAGATTTTAACTTACATTGTTCATGAATATCAAGGAGGGAATTACTGAGAGCAGAACGTTTTAGGGATACATCAGTAGACACAAGACGTTCTCGTTCCATCCCACAAGCTTCAGCTTCTCCTCGTACACAGTTTTCCTGAGGCCCACATGTGTACATAGCTTCGACATCAGCCACACCTGAATCTCTGTTGTCAGAGTTATTGTTCAAACTGCCCCCAGTGCTGCCAGCAGCACCAGTTCTAGCAGTTCGCACAGCGTGACTGCTCTTCTGTCTATCCAGCTCAGCTTCAATACGTAGATTTTCCATCTCATCCATTTCACAAACAGATTCCCTAAGATCTTCTGCAAACTTGCAACGGTCATGCTCATTGCGAGCATTGAAGGTGACCAGCACCTTCCCATCCACACGCTGAGACAATCGAATTCCAAAGGGATAATCTGAAAGAGCAAGAAGTGTCTTAGGAAAACGAGTTCACCATATTTGCTGTAGGCGTTAGCGTCGCAAACTATTACTACTTACATGGCACATCAAATAAAGTCACCATCATACCACACAGAGGAAAACTTTGTCGGAATGTATATGTCACAGAATTTTTCTTCTTGGAAAGTATCTTAGTGATTACAAGCAAGTCATTGAAGAGGAAAACTTCTCTTTGGTGAACTCCTGGTCTTTCCTTTTTGTAAGGATCTGGTACTTCATACAAGCGGCAATAGCAAACCAAACGTCTGTGTGGTAACGCCATGTTAGGTTTCTTTCCAACAATCGTGCTTTGGACTTTCATAACTTGAGTGACATGGTCAGAGCCTGGCTTGAATTCATTACTCTTCACACGATCATAAATGCCAGCAAGCATGTCTTTATCGATGTCATGGCAGTCATCAATTCCTGGAGAGAAAAAAAGAAAAAAAAAAAAAACAACATGAATCATTGTCTATATAAAGGAAGAGACAAAAATATGAAAGATATAAATTTTTTAAATAAATGAGACAATACCTCTTAAATTTTTTATGAAGTCCTCAAGTTTCATCCGTCTTTCGGCTTTGATGTTGGGAGTGTGAAGATCAGTATTGAGCATAATGATAGCAAACGCTAGGACAAAGACGGTATCTGGTGAACGTAGTCTGGCGACAACATCCTGATTACAGCGACAGTATCTTGTTGAGAACACTTCCATCAGCCTCTCAATCTTCTGCGCTTCTCCTGGCATGCGGAAGTGGGACTGGAATTTCCGAAGACCAACATCCACAGCCATTCCGCAGAGGTCCAGCTCGTCGGAAAAGCATTCAAGCACGGCCATGTTGAAGGGACTTTGCAAATTGCCTAGATACTCTCCAATCATCTGCTTGCTCAGTCCCTTGCGAGAGATGAGAAATCTAGCCACTCCTTGAGGGGAATTTTCTAAGAAGCCTCGTCGGATAAGGTAGCTGATTCCTCGCTCCGGTTTCTTGTTGAATAAATTGAGCCCGACTCGATACTGTCTCTTCCTCACAGTTTCCGACACCTGAAAAACAATGAAAAAATTAGAACCTCAGCTCGCCAGGCGGTCTAAATGACAGCAACGTTGCGGTACGCACCTTGTACATGACGTGCTGTGGGGGCTCCTGCATGTTGAAGGCAGGACTTCCCTGCAGCTGCTGCGCCTGGCCCTGGAGCTGGCCCTGGAGCTGGCCCTGCAGGACGAGGCCGGCGGAGCACTCCTGCTCCTTGCGCTTCCAGAGCGGCGACGTGGAGCGGCCGGGGCCGTCGTCGCATCGCGGGTCGCAGAGCTGGTCGCAGCGCTGGTCGCAGCCCGCGCTGGCGGTGGCAGTGTGGCTGCTGCTGTCCGAGCCCGACGAGTGCACGGACGTGATGCTGCCACTGTCGCCGCCCAGCGAGCCGCCGCCCAGCCGCCCGGGCAGCGACGACAGCGAGGTGCGGCCCTGGTGGCCGAGGCCCTGGCCGAGGCCCTGGCCGAGGCCCTGGCCCGCGCCCGGCAGCGGCGTGATGGACGAGGTGCGCTTCGGCACGTCGGGGGGCACCTGCGGGACAAACACGGCCATCAGCACACGAGTCACTCCGCCACACTGTGCAAACTCTCACACTGTAGTACAGCACGCGACTAGGCGCCAAGCGCGAACGAGAAACACTGTGCACACCCAGGAAACCAAACCCATCCACCAAGCGGCAAAGAAGAAAAAGTAAAAAAAAAAACAAGCGCGTTTTACAAAAAAAAAGAAACAAAAAAAGTGGCAGTAATTATATTACAAAAACGCATTCAAGCTGCTTTCGCAGAGATTAAAAAATTGCAAGATGTGAAAGAGAGTTGAAAAAGAACACGTTCAGCAGAAAAAGTTACAAGTTGCGCAGCCAGATACTGTAGAAAAACTACAAACGCTGTTTCAACATCGGGAGAAAGGAGGGGGAGCTCTCGCGTAGGGGAGCATTCGAACCCGCGCCGGAAAGGCGAGGCACAGTGGGCCAGAAGACCGGTGGAGGCGGCCAAAACTCTAGACGCGTTTTGAGCTGCAAAGTCGCTAAACAGGGCTTGAACCGAACGTGTGACCCCACCAATGGATTCCTCGTTCGAAGAGCAATCCATTGGTGGAGTCACACGTTCGATTCGAGTCCCATTTAGCGACGCTGGAGCTCAAAACGCGTCTAGAGTTTTGGCCGCCTCCGCCGGTCTTCTGGCCCACTGTGCGAGGCGTGGGCCCGGAGCATGCCTCCCGGACGCAAGGGACTTCCCCGCCGCTCCCGGCTACACCAAGCTACACTACTCGCTACACGACAACGCAACGCCAAGCTACAAAGCTACTGCACCTTGCTGCGGTGGCGCGACTGGTAGCTGGCCACACTAGACACGCTGCCCGCGGGCGAGGAGGACAAGGGACTCGGACAGGAGTTACAGGGGCAGGACACAGGGCACGGGCAGGGCGGGCAGGGGCTCAGGGTGGACCAAGGGTCGCCCTGCACGGTCAGCATGCCGACGGCGCTTAGGCCGTCGAGGCCGCCACCGTGGGCGTGCATGATAGCCAGGCAGTGGCTGTGGCCGTGGCCGAGCGGCGCGAACCCGCGCACAGGCCCCATCGAAGAGCTCATCTAAAACAAAAGGCAACGCCAGCGTTAAAAAAAAAAGGTTTAGTGAACCTAACGCTTACGCCGAAGCCGCGTGAACGCTGCGAGAAGCTGCGGGCTAGATGCCTGGTTAGACTGCGCGTTCAAATCCACAAAAGACACACCGTCTGTTAATTGCGTAAGTGCGGAAAGAGGTATGGAGTCCCCTGCACCAGTGCGTGAAAGTAGGAAGAGGTGTTGCGAAATGAACAAGGCGGACTGTGGCGCCTCGAGGCAGTTAACAGACGGCCGCCTATACGCGCCCCTACTATGAGAAACATGAAAAACTTTTTTCTACCAAACTAGGCGAGAAACGAAACGAAATGAACCAACGACGCGAGCGAGCGCCAGCCAGTCGGACTGGCGCACCTAGCGTGCACCACCATCCCGCGCATGCGCTAATCTAGGCTAGAGACAGAAAGAGATAAAGGTCATTCAGAGCGGCAGGCGGAATGCTCGCGGCTCCCTCCAACTAGTCCAAGTGCAAGTGCAGCGGCCGTCCGGCGAGTTCCGATGCCGTCGGCCGAAATCTGCGAAACGTTCCGTTCCCGACCCGAGATGCAGAGGGGATGGGGCGGTACTCACGTCGTGCTCCGCGAAGGACTCGTGCGGCGAGTAGAAGTGCGCCGTGGTGGAGTCCCAGTACGTGACGGAGCCGTCGTGGCACGCGGTGCACTGCTGCTGGTGCTGCTGCTGGTAGTAGTCGTAGTGCTCCAGCTGCTGGCCCTGCTGCAGCCCGGGCGGCGCGGGGCCGTGCTGGCCGTGCTGGCCCGGCTGTCCGCAGCAGCTGGACTGGCTCCGGGGCAGGCGGCGCTCGCGCAGGGACAGCGATCGCACGGGGACGGCCCTGGGGTTCACCTGGTTGCCCTGCACGCCCTGGGTCTGCACGGCGCCCATGCCGGGGGCCGGGCCGGCGACGGCGACGGGGCTCACGCCCTGGGCGGGCGGCGGCGCGGCCACGGGGCTGAGCGGGGGCATGGGCCCCAAGGGCATGGGCCCCAAGGGCATGGGCCCCAAGGGCATGGACCCCAAGGGCGGCAGCGGCCCCGCGACGCCGGCGTCGCAGAGGTCGGCGCTCGTCTGCAGCCGCCGGCTCAGCCGCTTCTCCGCCTTGGCCATGGCCGTGATGGCCGCGAACTTCTTGAGCAGTGTGTAGCGCCGGAAGGCGCGCTGGATGGTGAGCGCCGCGGTGCGCGCCTTGACGCCGCCGTACTTCCGCTCCAGCATCTCGATGCGCTTGTCCTGCAGGTCCTGGGACAGCTCGTACCTGCAATGGCAACACAGCGGCGCGTTAGTTTTACCAGTGTACTCGACTAATGGGCCGCGGTATGATGGCTAGCGCGGCGTGGACACACGCGACGGGCCACGCCCCGCACGCCAAGACCGTCCTCCCCGCGGTGCGTGACGGCCTTCGCGACAAAGACGCGGCGCGGCCTGCGGCACGTCCAGCGTGTCCATGATCGATGCTGCGTGCCTCCGAGAGCCCTCCGCGCCTCGCAGAAAGCCGCCTTGTCGGTGACCGTGTCGGTGACCGTGTCCAGGACGCGGCGCGCCGACCCGGACCACCACACCAGAACCTCCAATGGGCATTCGGCGCGGCGTCGTTTCCCCGAACGCGTTTTGTCTCGCGCACGGCGTGCAGCTTGAGCTTGGCGCTCGGTCTAATGTTGTCCGACGCGGTGCGCGGCGTGTGCGCGGCGTGTACGCGGCCCAAGCAGCTACCACGCCCACCCAGCCCGCGGCGCCGCGGTGCAACCGCCGCGCTCCACGGCACGGCTTCCGAGAAGCGCTACCGTTGCCACCGTGCCCGGGGCGCCGGCGGCCGCGCCCTCCGCCACGCTGCGCCCCGGGGCAGCCCTCGGGCCTTGGGCTTCACTTCACAGTGCCGCGGCCACGGCGCACAGTGGGCCAGAAGACCGGTGGAGGCGGCCAAAACCCTAGACGCGTTTTGAGCTTCAGAGTCACTAAGCAGGACTCGAACCGAACGTGTGACCCCACCAATGAATTCCTCGTTCGGAGAGCAATCCATTGGTGGGGTCACACATTCGATTCGAGTCCCATTTAGCGACCCTGGAGCTCAAAACGCGTCCAAAGTTTTGTCCGCCTCCACCGGTCTTCTGGCCCACTGTGCGGCGGCGACCACCACACTATCGCGGGCCGCGGCGCACGGCCCTATCGGCGACATTCCCGATGGCGTGCGTGCGTGCCGCCGGCGTGCGGCCGCGTCGCGCGGTCTCGCTTTCTAAGAGATGCCAGATACTACAAGGTAGCGTACGTACTACACTGTAGCTTTCGTCGGCACGCCGCGGCACGGGGCAGCACGCCACCCGGCCTTGCAAGGCAAATCTCCCACTCTCCAGCCCTCGGCCAGCAGACCGATTCCGAAAGTCGTTTTCGTCGCTCTGTCTCCCTCGCACCTGTACGGTACTGTGCGGGACGCCCGAAGTGCGAGAGAGACAGACTCCCGACAGGAAACGGCTGCAACAGCCCGGTTTTCCGTTGTTCATTTTCCAGCGTGGACGTCGTCCAGTCAGCTGCGCGCTGCGCGGCGCGTGCGGCTGCGAGGCCCGTGCCGACAGTGGCGCGGACAGGTCGGCCCCGCGGCGACGACGAGTACGACACCGCGAGCGGCAGCTGCGCGGTGCGAAACGAGTTCTGCCACGCCCCGCCACGCCACGCCCCCACGCAACGCGCTGCACCGGCTGACGTCACGGAGCACGCGAAGCATCATCAACGCGCCGCACAGTGGGCCAGAAGACCGGTGGAGGCGGACAAAACTCTAGACGCGTTTTGAGCTCCAGAGTCGCTAAACAAGGCTCGAACCGAACGTGTGACCCCACCAATGGATTGCTCTCCGAACGAGGAATCCATTGGTGGGGTCACACGTTCGGTTCGAGTCCTGTTTAGCGACGCTGGAGCTCAAAACGCGTCTGCAGTTTCGCCACGCGCACGGACTATACCACGGCCGCCACACACGGACTATACTTACGCAGTCTGGATCCTGGAGCGCTTGAGCACCTCGCCATTGTTCCGCACGGAGCCCTTCTTGGCCCAGTTGTTGTAGGAGGCCGGCGGCCCCGGTCCGCACGCCGACCCGCACGCCGCGCGGTCAACCTTGTGCGGCGAGCTGCAAGCACACAAGCACAGAGGGGCGTCAGCACACTGTCTCCACGTCAAGATCTCGAAGACACAGCTCGTGTTCCAACACTATCGACTCGAAAAAAAAATAATTAAAAATAAATAAATAACACAACCCGCGCGGGCGCCTTCCCGGCGTGCGTGGGAGCAGACCCTGTTTGCGCCTGAGAGGGCCTCAGGTGGAAAACACCCGCACGTACACGAAGTGTGAGTGTGAGTGTGTGTGTGAGTGTGTGTGTGAGTGTGTGTGTGAGTGTGTGTGTGAGTGTGTGTGAGTGAGTGTGTGTGTGTGAGTGTGTTGGCGGTGTGGTTTCCGCCGGCGCTGTTAATTGGGTTGGCCGTAGGCAGCAGTATAGGATGCACCAAGAAACGTGTTGGAACAAAATCATCACATCGACTCGAGTCACAAGCACAGAAAAAAATAATTAAAAACGGACCTAAAAAGGGGGAGGGGAAAGGGGGCGTCGAAATCAAGTGTAGGGAGGAAATGGGCTGCGGTCCCACACACCGCAAGTGGTTGGCAGTGTAGGCGAGGTGGGCGTCGTCGGTGCACGGCCTTATTTCATTATGATTCCCGGCGCCAAGGGGACGCGATTCCCTGCGACTCTGTCTGTCTCTCTCGCACACCTGCGGAGCTGCGGCACGCCCCACGCGTGCGAGAGAGACGGACAATCAACCTGCCGGCCAGGCAGGCCAGGCCGTTCCAGGCGGGAAGCGTGTGGGACGATGCTCGCTAACACACACACACAGACACACGGCCAACAAGCAGCCCGCGCGTCCGTGCAAAAGACACGCGGTTCTGTCCGCGCTTTACTGCACTCCAGTCTAGTCCGCGGAGTGCGGGAGGGAGAACGCCCAGAACGACGCTCCGGGAGCCGCGCTCCCATTTGCAAGTTTATTGCGGAATTAGTTGAGCGTGTGCGCATCGGCCTGGAGCGGCCAGCAGTCGACCGTCTCTCTCGCTCCCTCAGGGGACGCCGCACGAGTGCGAGAGAGACAGAGCGACGACTCTCGGAGCCAGTCTGCTGGAGCGCGGCCTGCAGCGCACCGCCGCGCGAATATTCAAGCGTGCCTCCCTCCTGTTTCGCGTGCACCTCGGAAACGCCGACGGCCTGGCGGCTTCCTGGCCGTCGAGGCCGTCCTGGCGGTGCTTCGGCCGCCAGCGAACCTCCTCGAGGGGATTTTGCCGGCACCTCTCTTTCGCACACGGGCAGAGCACGCACGCGGATTCTGCCTCATTTACATTGTAAACAACGTGTAATTTCGAGTTGGCGAGTAACTGTCCCGAACTATGCGAGGCGGCGGCGGCGGCGCACAGTGGGCTAGGAGACCGGTGGAGGCGGCCAAAACTCGAGACGCGTTTTGAGCTCCAGAGTCGTTGAATGGGCCTCGAACCGAGCGTGTGACCCCACCAATGGATTGCTCTCCGAACGAGGAATCCATTGGTGGGGTCACACGTTCGGTTCGAGGACTCTTTAGCGACTCTGGAGCTCAAAACGCGTCTACAGTTTCGGCCGCCTCCACCGGTCTTCTAGCCCACTGTGCGGCGAGCGCGCAGTGCGAGAAAAGTATGCAATCTGTACTTAATTAGTATTCGCCGCGATGTGCGGCGCGTCGAGTGCAGGCAGTGCAGGCAGGCCGCAGAGGCACTGCGAGAAACGAGTGAAACGAGACACCTTGATGCAACAGTGGCATCCCTGTCTCCTCCGTGCACCGCGGCACCGCGGTCTGGTCGCCACGCCACTCCACACAGACGCCGAGGCCGCCGCCGCAGGGCACGGCCCGCACGGCCACGGCCGCAACGAGGTACAGGAAGAAAAGGACGAACTCCTCTCTAGGCGGCGAGCACAGAGCAGAGGAACGCAGAGCGCGGAGCACGCCGGAGGAGACCCTTGTGTAACAGGATCACCGGGACGACGCGCGGAGGCCTGCCAACGCCGCAAAAGTAACAAATAATAAAAAATACCACTCACAAAAAATGTGAAAAATAAATGAGAAAAATTGAAAGCAACTTGAACGAGCGAAGAGTCTTTTACATTCGTTCAAAACGTCGCGCCGAGTAACCTCGGCAGGGTAGCGCTGACGGGCTGGACAAGACTGGACTGTGGTTCGAATCCCAGCCCAGCCCAGAACAAGCCTCCTCGTTTTGTGTTTTCGTGATGAGATATGGGCGGCGGTGGCCCACATAGATCACCGGAGAGCCTAATGGGCCCACCGGCCACACGGCGGCGCGGCGGAGGCGGAACGTGCCCCAAGGCCCAAGCCCGACTCCACTCCAGCCCCCCCCCCCCTCCAAAAGCTCGCGAGGCGACATTCAATTCCAATCGCCACTACACTATCAGCATGCTGCATTTCTCATTTCGCAGAGAGATAGAGGCGGAAGCCGTCTGTCTGTCTCTCTCGCACTCGTGGGGCGTCCCGTCGGCGGTGCGAGAGAGACAGAGAGCAGCAGCACGCGGCTATTCAAACCGGCATGGAACGGCGTAGCGTTTCCTGTGCGGCACACAGTGGGCCAGAAGGCCGGTGGGGGCGGCCAAAACTCTAGACGCGTCTTGAGCTCCAGAGTCGCTAAATGAGACTCGAACCGAGCGTGTGACCCCACCAATGATTTGCTCTCCGAACGAGGAATCCATTAGTGGGGTCACACGCTTGGTTCGAGTCCCATTTAGCGACTCTGGAGCTCGAAACGCGATCAGAGTTTTGGCCGCCTCCACCGGTCTTCTGGCCCACCGTGCGGCACTCCACGCGTACTAGCAGGCATGCATACACGCACTCGCCTCGGACGAAGCCACAGCGAGACGCAATTTCGGCAGCAATTTCAAGGATCGCGACAAGTGTTTCGTACACTCTAAATGTTCTACAGTGAAGATTCTCCATGTTATGGTGAAAGTGTTCCATATTATGGTGGTGCAGCTGACTTCGTAACATACCATTGAGAATTCACTGTACCTTATAGATATTTTAACGAATTTCGTTGGTATTATGGAGAAAATCTCCACCATAATATGTTGGTGCAGCCTTTCACCGTAAGACATTTACTGTGTACACGCCCATGAGCCCGCGGGCGGAACACTCTCGAAAACAAGTGTCGCGGTCCCCCCCTCCCGGGCCGACCGAGTCTGTAGCTGCTTATCAGCGCGGCCAGCGCTCCGCCCTGCGTGCTTTTCCAAAGCCTGCTGACACATTCTCGGAAACCAAAAAATAGCTTAATAATAATTTAATCTCGCGGTCCAGCCCGTCATTGTCCCGTTCCGGAGAAACGGCAAATAACATTATTCGGCCTCCGGGGACAGACAATCACGCCGCGGTCCGGACCCGCATGGCACTGCACCTCTTCTATTTATATCAAAAACAAAAAAAAAAGATTCAGAAAAAAAAGGTAACGCAGGGGCAAAAAAAAAGATAAATGGGATGAATGACGAGGTGAAACTGTACCTGCACTCACGTCAGGGGGAAAACAAAGGACGCCGTGTTTACAACAAAGAAGAGGACCGTTTGAATATTCAAACAAATCGAGCACCGCCACGCAGTAGTAGTAACAATTAGTCCGCGGTGCAACGAAAAGAAGAGCACGAAGAAGGTGGCGGTTGGCGTTTGGATGCCGGAGGCACTGGAGGCGCTGGAGGAGTGCACTCGGAGTGTTCACTTAGTGTTCATAGGGGTGAGGCCACGCCCTGGGGCCATCCCACCTGGACTACTCGATTCCTGGAGTCCAGCATCGGCCGAGCCCTTCAGAGCCACCACAGTACACGCCAAGACACCCCCCTCCCCTCCCCTCCCTGCGGCGCTACAGTCTTCACAGCGTAGTGCAGACGACCGAAGCAACAGCTGCCCCCTGCTCCGCTCTGCACCTGGCGTCCCCGTCCTCCACCTCATCGCCCTGCTTGCCCTGCTCCTGCTCCGCCTTTGTCAAACTCGCTCTCGGGCCTTTGTACGGAAGACGCAACCGGAGGGGGCGTCCGTAAGCCGCCAGCGCGGCCTAGCAGTGTAGTGTGCCTTACCCGCGGCCCCTGGAACCCAAGGGATGACGTGCCACAGTGGGCCAGAAGACCGGCGGCGGCGACCAAAATTCCAGACGCGTTTTGAGCTCCAAAGTCGCTCAATGGGACTCGAATCGAACGTGTGACCCGACCAATGGATTGCTCTCCGAACGAGGAATCCATTGGTGGGGTCACACGTTCGGTTCGGGTCGAGAGAGACAGAGCGACGAGGGCGCGCTTCGGAAACGAGCCTGCCGACATGATTGGACCGAGGATTGGACTTCCCTTGATGAGTGGAGGCCGTAGGGACCAAAGCAATCCGGGCCGCCAACCACACGGCTACACGGCCACACCAACCTAACCACGGCGGCGGCGCCAGGGAGCACACAAACACACTCACACACTCACGTACGCGTCAAAATGGGAGAACCAAGCGCCGCGGCCGAGTGCAGCGCGGCAGCGTGGTGTAGCAGACAAAGGCGAAATTAGCCGAAGCGCGTTCCGCGTTCCGATGCCCCTCGGTAAACGAACCGACCGGCCGACCGGCCAGCACACTGGGCTCTTCTTTTCACACGCAGCGCGCAGTGTGCCCACCGCGGCGTGGCGGCCGGTGGCGCAGGGGTCATGAACCGCCATGGAGACCCAGCAGGCGGGGCGGGGCGGGGGGCGGGGCGGGGCGGGGCGGGGCGGGGCGGGGCGGGGCGGGGCGGGGCGGGGCGGGGCTGGGCGGGGCGGCCCCCGCGCTACACTTCGCCGGCCAAGATACAGATACATGCGTTGCACGCCGCACCAGAAAACCCCTCCCTCCCTCCACACGCGGCGACTGCATCTTGGCCTCCAGGTTGCTCGCTCGCGCACCCCTAAAAGGACGGTCCGGCCCTCTCCCTGCCTCCCTCTCGGAGACTCTGAGGAAGGAACAAAACCAAAACAATAACCGACAATGAGCCAGGAAACGCTCCGGGTCGCGTCTCCTGGCCGCAGCCTCTCCCTCCCTCCCACGGACTTCCTC